TTAAGGTAAAATAAACAACAAATTTATTTTCAGTAAAGCATGGAGGAAGAAATCAATTTTCTTCTTCTTCCACGTGGGTTGACTGAATATATTTCAAGTGGCCTAGGAACTTGTGGCTTTTTTTCTCGATATTTTCTTTTTCATTTGTATTTGCTTGGCGAAGGAATGCTAAAAGGTGTAGAAGTCTTCAGAATTAGCCAGCCCCTTATAGAAAGAGGAGGTTACCTCTCTCTAGAGAGAGACTTTATGCTTTGATTCAAGAACTTGGCATGCAGATTGCTGCCTGTGCCTGCTGAGAGGCTAATGCTTTTAACAGATGTTTTTATTTTTCAGTCCAGGAGCGCTCAATTGAATTTTCTCACGAATATGCCACTTAAAGACAACTCTGGGTTTACCTGCCACTCCGCAGTGCAGTGCGGAGTGCCAGAGGCTGGCCCGGAAGACTTGTTTGCAGGGTCAGCGTGAGCACGAGGATCCTTCACTTGGCGTGGGTCAGCCCACTTGAGGCAGACCTCATGTGCCTCAGAAAGTTAAGAATGATGATGTGATTTTTGGGGTGCTCCTGCCCCCAGGTTCAATAGACAAAGGATGAAGAGAGGGGGGCTCCTTCACTCTGAATCCCATCCCCCACTCTTGGGAAGCCAGAAACATAAAGATAGGTGGGGAAGACTCTGCTCAGTGGCATCATCCTTCTGGATTCACCTCAGTGCAGAGTCTATTGCTGGGATGGAGCACCTCCTGCTTTGGAGGAAGGGTGAGTGTACCAGACCTAACCACATGGCGGGTTTCTGGAGTGACTGTGCGCAAAGGAATGGTGAGAGCACCAAGCACCTCTGGAGTTCACGCTCTGAGGGACGTGGTGTGAAGCAGGTGGTCCTTAGAAAGGTATTCAGCTGGCCAGGACTTGGAAGGAAGGGCCAGTCCCCTCCCAGGGCAGTTCAGGAAAAGACTTGGGGCTGTCACCTACACCACAGAGGTGCACCTGCCTCCAGGTGGATTCCTGGGACCAGATGGGGGACAATCCCTAGGACCAAAACCTCTCCTGGACTTGAATGACCAGGCCAGCATTTCCCCTGGGGACTCTGTCCTTCCCTTCCCTGGCTGGCAGGACTGTCCTTTAGGAATGACAACACCTTCCTTCCCGTGGACGTCCAAACCTGGGCGCTCACCTGTGTGGACTGTAAAGCCTAAAGCCTTTATACCAGTTGGGGTGGGGTGGATGTGGACAATCTCACTGCTCCCCCACCCCCCACCCCGCCCCCTACCTCGTCTTCCCACGACCTGGGCTCGTTGTCAGGGGGCAGGGAGGCTCCTTATCCACCTGGGATTGTCGAGAGGTTCGGATCTTTATGCTGGTGAGAAGGATTTGTCCGGGATTGCCCAGCAGCGCCCTCCCCGCGGCGGGGCAGCGGCGGGCGCCGGCCGGGAGCCCAGCAGGGGCGTGTCCCGGTGCTCACCTGCCATTGGGCAGGTGGGGCCGCCGGGGCTCCTGCAGGGGCCGCACTATAAATACCGAGCGGGTGGCCACCCGCTCAGGCGAGTCGCAGGATGGAGGACAGCGTGTACCGGACCCGCTCCCTGGGAGTGGCAGCCGAAGGGCTCCCGGACCAGTACGCCGACGGAGAGGCGGCGCGCGTGTGGCAGCTGTACATCGGGGACACCAGCAGCCGCACGGCCGAGTACAAGGCCTGGCTGCTGGGGCTGCTACGCCAGCACGGCTGCCAGCGGGTGCTCGACGTGGCCTGTGGGACCGGGTGAGCCCAGGCGGGGGTCCGGGGCTAGGGGCAGACTGGGAGCAGCCAGGGTCAGGCTTGGCCCGCGCCGCCCCCACCGCAGGCCCTGGCCGGGGCACGTCGGGGCAGCCTCGTCCTCCGCCAAGCCGAGCGGGAACTCGGTGGAGGCAGCAAGCCAGGACCCGGAACGGGTGTGTGTGTGCCGGGGCAGCCTGGGCGGGCAGCGCCAGCCCAAGGGCAAGATTGCCTGGTGAGGAGGCTGAGAAGACCTCGGTGAGAGGAAGGGGCCAGCCGGCCAGCGGGGCGGCGTGGGAGAGGCGGGTTCGCCAGGGCAGGGCAAGCAAGAGCCCGGCTTCAGGCAGACGGTCCTGAGCTGGATCCTGGCTCCAGCATTGTTTCTTCTGGGATGGCCTTGGGCAGTGCTCACAGTTAACATTTGTTCAACATTTGCCAGTGCCAAAGCACTGCGCCAGGTGCTCGCCATACATTAGTTTTTAAAATCCTCACCAAACCCCACGAGGTTAGGAGTGGAAATCCCAGCTCACAGGAGTAAAGGTCTCCCATCCGCTGCAGAGGAGATACAGACCCAGGCTGGCTGGTGTGTGCACCTTGCTACACACCCCCTCCTGTGCAATTACTTAACCCCCCAGCTTCAGGAGCCACACACACTGTGGAGTGCTTGACTCTGAATAGCTGCTAAAAAAACTCAATCAGAAAGTTGCAACCTGGAGCCAAAAAGCAGATTTGCCAGCTCCCCTGAGGTCAGTGCAGAGGGCTTGAGGAGATGCAGCAGAGGAATGTATTCTTTTTTTTTTTTTAAGATTTTTTTTTTATGCATACAAAACTGGGGTAGAGGCCAGAGATGTATGTGTTGGGGGGGCGGAGGTTAGTGAGAGGCTTCACCAGAGACAGAGTGGGGAGCAGAACAGGCACACTGGCTGAAATACACTGCTGAGGGGAGGACCAGTGGGTCAGGAGAGGTCCGCCGTGCCATGTGGGTCAGCTCTCTGGTCCAGGATCAAACTCATGCTGCAGCGGCAGCGAAAGCTTCATTGTGCTGTGCTTTGACCCCCGTTGTGCCGCCAGGGAGGGCCCCGGAATGTATTCTTTTTTAAAAAATATATTTATAATACAGAGCTGGGGTGCAGGCCAGATGTGTGGGTGTGGGGTGAGAGGATTCACCAGAGACAGAGTGGGGAGCAGAACAGGCAAATCTACTGAGGGGAGCAGCAGGGGAGACAGCAGAGGTCTGCTGGGCCATGTGGGTCAGCTCCCTGGTTGGGGATTGAACTCGCGCTACAGTGGCTGCTGACAGCTTGGTAATGCTGAGACTTAATTCCTTGTGCCACCAGGGAGCTCAGGCACATACTCTAAGAGTTGAGAAGTGTCTGGCACAGGGCCTTCTTCTTGCCTTCACCGCCCCTGACTGCTCCTCTCTGCCTCTCATCCCTGGCCCTGTCAGGGTGGACTCCATCATGCTTGTGGAAGAGGGTTTCAGCGTGACGAGTGTGGATGCCAGTGACAAGATGCTGAAGTATGCACTTAAAGAGCGCTGGAACCGGCGGCATGAGCCAGCCTTCGACAAGTGGGGTATGTGGGCCCAGCCCAGTCACCAAGGACAGGGTTCTCTCTGCTCTGGGTCCTGTAGCTCTTGGGGTGGGGTGTTTATTTTCCTCAAGGAGACAGCAAAAATAGTGTCATTTGCCTGAAAGGGAGGTTTAGGCACCAGAAAGGGGTGTGGGATATGAGGGGCTATTTTAGTGTCTCCTCAGATAAAACCTCGTGAGCACAAACCCCTCCATACCAACATGCCTTTCTCTCCCCTTGAAGATCTTCCCCTTTCCCTCTCCACATCCGTAGTGATATTCTCTTCCTAAGTGGATGGGGAACCCCTGTGTCTCAAAAGGGAAACTGAGGCAGGACTGCACTTGGTGGAGATGGGTACTACCAGTACCATGGTGCCACCCTGACCCCTCTTCCTTTCCCTGGCCCCCCCCCAGTCATTGAAGAAGCCAACTGGATGACTCTGGACAAAGATGTGCCCCAGCCACCAGGGGGTGGCTTTGATGCTGTCATTTGCCTCGGAAACAGTTTTGCCCACTTGCCAGATGGCAAAGGTGAGAGAGGGTGTGGAGTTGGGCGTGGTCTTTGCTATGCTCCTTTCTAGACCCCAAGGACCTTCTCTGCCAGAGCAGACTGCCCCTCTCTGACTTGGCACCGGTACCCCTGGGAGGAGAGAGATGGGAGGGACACTGGTGCTGGGGGCCCCGAGCAGACGCAGCCTCTGCCCTGCCTGGAGCTCAGGGGACCAGAGCGAGCACCGGCTGGCACTGAAGAACATTGCGAGCAAGGTGCGGCTGGGGGGCCTGCTGGTCATCGATCATCGCAACTACGACCACATCCTCAGCACAGGCTGTGCACCCCCAGGGAAGAACATCTACTATAAGGTGGGGTCCTGGAGAGGGCAGCCCAGAGTGGGAGGTATGAGCCTGGGGGCCAGGCCCCACAGCGGTCACAGAGCCTAACACAGCACCGCCGCCGACAGAGTGACTTGACCAAGGACATCACAACGTCCGTGCTGACAGTGAACAACAAGGCCCACATGGTGACGCTGGATTACACGGTGCAGGTGCCCGGAGCCGGCCAGGATGGTGCTGCTGGCTTGAGGTATCCACGTGGCAAGGCTGGGGGCAGAGGGGGAGGAAGGGTGCGGAGTGACAAGGCTCACGGTCGGCTGGGGCTCTGTTGCAGTAAGTTCCGGCTCTCCTACTATCCGCACTGTCTGGCACCCTTCACCGAGCTGCTCCGAGCGGCCTTCGGAGGCAAGTGCCAGCACAGCGTCCTGGGTGACTTCAAGCCGTACAAGCCGGACCAGGCCCAAATTCCCTGCTACTTCATCCATGTGCTCAAGAGGACGGGCTGAGGGTGCCCTCAGCACCCACAACCCCCTGTACCGGCTCTGCCAGGCTCTGTCTGGGGGAGGTGGGCCATCCGCCTAGCACCGCCTGGTGTGGTCCTACCCCAAACCCAGCCCCCGCCCCCTCCAGCAGATCCGGGGGTTGCTGGGAGGGCTGGCAGCAGCTGGGGTACAGGGATTTGGGTTCAGGCAAACGGAATGAAGAACAATACAGTCTGCCTTTTTCAGTTCCCGCATGCCTGTGTTAAGTCGGAAGGGCCAGACTCAGGTGGTACCCACCCTGCCCTCCCCTGAGGCTTACTCCTCCCACCATCCTACAACACTTTCAAACCATGACACCAGCAGGGGGCAGCAGACACTTTATTTTTAGCCACAGCGAGGGCACGCTGTAGTACCCTTGAACTCGAGATCCTCCCCACCCGTCCTGCACAGTGGAACTTAGTCCTAGGCTGGCCTGAAGGTAGAGAGGGGATGCCTCTGGAGTTCTCGGGGCTCCTGATCCCACTGTGCACCCAGGGATCTCCTGGAGGTAGGCAGGTGGGTGGGCAGGAACCCAAGGAAGACCCCTTGGCTCTCTGAGGTCTCTGTGGGGATCAGGTACCTTTCATCACACAGGGTGGGGGTCCCCAACTGCAGGGTGCTTAGCAGGCCGCAAACTTGCGCTGGATGCGCTTATAGCGGAGCAGTTCCTGCTCACTGACTGAGGGCTGCAGCCGGGCAGCGGCCTGCAGCAGGTCCTCCATGGTGAGCAGCAGTGCCGTGCTCCCGAGCTCCAGGCCTAGGGGAGCAAAGGGGAGGGAAGCCATCTCAGCTAGGGAACAAAGACTGTGGTCTATGCCCTAGCAAAGGAGAGCCCTGGGGAGACAGTGGCCTGCCCAGAGTCCCCGAACATCGATAGTCCTCCTCTGAAACCCAGAACGAGATTTGGTTCCCACGAGATGTCTGGTCAGCCCTTGGGGCTAGCGAGTGGCTCACCTTCCTCCAGGTCCCGAACCCTGCGTTTGAGGGCAGCCGTCATGGCATCGGAGCACAGGGCATAGAGGTCTGCGCCCGTCAGCTGGGGAGGGCAGCGGTCCAGCACAGCCACCAGGCTCACAGAGGGCTCCAGCTTGAACCTGCTCCGGGGATATGGCAAGACTACCTGGCTTCCTGCTTGGTGACCACACCCCTTGACCATCCTAGGGGTCACCTTTGACCCCAGGTTCGTGGAGTCTCCCTCTCAGGGCATACTTGCGTGTGATGGCACTCAGCACTCGCAGCTGGGAGGCACGGTCCTCGCTCACCCCCACGAACACCAGCTTGTCAAATCTTTAGGGAGACAGGTGGGTGTGTCAGCATGAGGGGTGGAGGAGGCACAGAATGGGGGTCCGAGGACAGGCCCAAAGGGGTCTAGCAGAGCTGAGATACGAGGTATGGGGTCTATACCGGCCAGGCCGCAGAAGGGCAGGGTCCAGGAGGTCTGGCCTGTTGGTAGCTCCAATCACAAACACGTCCTGAGTGTTGTGAATTCCATCCAGCTCGGCCAGCAGCTGAGACACCACCCTGCAAAGGAGGTCACGAAGGCAGGAGGGTCCTTGACCATCCTCAGCCTCGGCCCTGGTGTGGGCCTCTCCACGGGACCCTGCTCAGATGTGCCCTGTGGGCCTCTCCAAGTGCGTCCCCATGCTCAGCGTCCCACTTCGCATCCCCTTTGAGCTTCTGTTAAACTATCTTGCAATCGGAAGAGCAGGAGTTCCCTGGCTGCCGCCCCCAGATTTCCTTCCTGTTCAGACACTCACCTGTCCATCACACCTCCTGAGTCTCCACTTCGCCCCCGGCTTGGGGCCAAGGAGTCCAGTTCATCAAAGAAGATAATGCAGGGAGCTGCGGCCCTGGCCCTGGCAAACACTGAGGAGAGGGGGCACAGGCCAGGCGTGCAGGGGGGTTGCGAGATGGAGAGAGAAACCAGGTGTGAAACCCCTCTCTGGCAGCCCACAGGCTAGGCCCGGCTACACAGGAACCACTCGCGCACAGGAGGGCTAGGAATGGCCGTGAGCAGCAGGGCGGTGGGGGTGCGGCACCAGGGCCACGGGATTCTGGGAAAGGCTGGACATTCTGCTTCTCCCCACCCACTCACCTTCCCGCACATTCTCCTCGCTTTGTCCCACATACATGTTGATGAGCTCAGGCCCCTTGACACTGTGTGAGAGAATATGAGCATGTGAGGTGAGACCAACCGGAGGCACGAACACAGCCAATCTCTGCCAGCCCCTCCTGCTCCCTGGCCTGGTCAGCTCCCAGCCCACCCACCTGAGGAAGGTGAGGCTGCACTCAGTAGCTACGGCCTTGGCCAGGAGGGTCTTGCCAGTGCCAGGGGGTCCATGGAGCAAAAGGCCCGAGCGCCTCAGGCCCAGGCTCAGCAGCTCAGGGTGCTCTAGAGGGAGCTGAATGGTCTCCAGAATCTCCTTCTTCACCTCCTGCAGCCCACCCACGTCGTGCCAGGATACTGAGGGGATCTGGAGATGGAGAGTGCGTGTTGGGGGTACACAGGTGGAGGGCACTCCGTCCCACCTCTAAGGGCCTGGAGAGTCTACCTTGGGGGCTCCGATGGCCTGCGAGTGGGCTGTCTGCAGCTGTTCCAGAGCCTGTGCGAAGTCCTCAGCCAGGAGGGGAAAGCCGGCAGCACACAGCTCCCCCTCGTCCTCCTCACTCCAGCCACCGGCCAAACTGCAAAGAACAATCCAGGGAGGCCCCTGGAGGCCCGCACCTCCCTCTCCCTCCTCAGGGCGCTGGTCCCATGTTTCCTTTGGCTGCCTTTCCCCGCCCAGTGCCCAACTTCCTTACCCCAAGTTCTTGATCCGAGAGCAGGCTGCCCGGCTGCTATGGGTCAAAAGAGCATAGAGATCCCCTACCACAAAGCCCTAGGAAGGCACAGGAAAGGACACGTGAGCCAAGCTCAGTGGGCAGGAACCCCTGGGGACGAGTCCACCAGATGGAACAGAGGCCCAATGTCAATACCTCAGGGTTTTCTTTTCTTTTTTCTTTTTTTTTTTTTTTTAAAGATTTATTTATTTGTGCATACAGAACTGGGGTACAGGCCAGAGGCTCAGGGGCAGTGAGAGGCTTCACCAGGGACAGAGTGGGGCGCAAAACAGGCAGATCAACGAAGTACACTGCTGAGGGGAGCAGCGGGCGGGTCAGGAGAGGTCTGCCACACCATGTGGTCACCTCCGGGGCAGGCGGGGATCGAACTCATGTGGAAGCAGCTTTAGATTCTCAGTGCAGTGCTTTAACCTGCTGTGCCACCAGGGAGGGCCCTTTTTTCTTTTTTTTAAAGATGTGTTTTCTTTATGTACACAAGAACAGGGGTGTAGGCCAGAGGTGCAGGGTGTGAGAGGATCCACCAGAGACAGAGTGGGGAGCAGAACATGTGGATTGACTGAAACACACTGCTGAGGGGAGCAGCAGGCGAGACAGGAGAGGTCTGCTGTGCCATGCGGGTCAGCTCCCTGGCCGGGGATCAAACTCCTGCCTCTGGCTGTGGATAGCTTGCTAGCTATGAGACTAACCCCTGCGCCACCAGGGAGGCCTCGTCTCTGGGTTTCCCACCCTCGTGCAGAGCAGCTGGACTGTATCCTGTGACAGCAAGCGGGGAGGAGGCCCGTCCCACTTCGGTACTCACTGCACACCGCCGTGCCAGCTGTGCCATGTTCACCTCTTGGCCTAGGGGGAGGTGGGCAGTGAGGGCCCGAAGAATGTTGAGCCGCTGCCCCTCTGACAGCACAGGTATCTCCAGTTCGTGCAGGAATGCTGTCTGCACGTCAGCAGGCAGGTCCTGGGCCTGGCTTGTGGTGGCCACAACCACCAGGGGAGGGCAGCTGCGAACAGGGAGCGGACAGATGGTGAGTGCATCCGGCAGCTGTCGGAACTGCCTGGTCCTGAGGCTGTATGGGAGGGCAAGGGGCGGTGGGTGCTGGATGTGCTAGGGAAGTGAGCACCCTGTGGTTCCTGGGTGGAGCTCCAGGGGGCCCCTGGAGAGGGGGGCCTCACTGAGGGCAGAGGCTGTGCTTTCTCTTCAACAAGCATCCCCCAAGCAATACTAGGGAACACCCCATCCTTCTGCCTCTGGATACGCCTGGGCTCAGGGCTGTCCGGAGGGCTGAGAAACAGCAGCCACGGAGAGGGTGAGGAAGCAGAGGAGGAGGAGGCCCTACCCTGTCAGTGAGCCTGGCTCTGAATAATACCTGGTGAGGGGGTCTGCCTCGAGGAGGAGCTGGCGCAGTGTGGCCACCACACGGGTGTCCTCACTAAGTCCATCACGGTCCCGGCCCAGAAGGTCCACAGCTGTCAGCAACAGAACCACAGGCCGGCAGCGCCGGGCCCGGGTGAAGACGGCCCGCAATTTTGTCTCCACAGCCCCGCTACTGTCTGCACAGAGGCTGGAACAGGGCACCTGGAGAAGGGGTTCTGGTGAGTGTGTGAGCCAGGGTGTGTGGGGCAGGAGAATGGGGCGGGGGGGAAAGGAGTCAGAAAACGCAGGTCATCCTAACTTTTGAGGACAAGGATGGGGTAAAGATAGCATTGGCCAAGTCCTACCTCTTCTTTACCGTAACCTCATTCTTTGTCCGCCCAAATCTGGAAACCCCCTCCACCTTGCAAGCTTCTCTAGCTGAGCATGAGGAGAACACGCCTCGCCAGCTGGCCCATTGCATTAAGGCCGGGCGGGCAGCTGGAGCATAGGAAGAGGAAGGATGGGAGAGTCTGGGCTAGGGAGAGGACAGAGTTGGGGTTCTACTGTCCAAGCATCCTCACCTTCAGTAAGTGGAGCCCAAGGCGGTTGCAGGCAGCAGTGACTACTGTGGTCTTCCCACTGCCTGGGGGGCCCCTCAGAAGGACACTGCTAGTTCCTGTCAGCAGGGCACCTCTGCAACCAGAGAACAGATACTCGACTCCAACTTTCCAGTCCTTAGTAATACAGGGACCCTGGGGTTGAGAGAGCAGGTGCCCCCTCTCTCTGCCCAGGGCTGTCCCACACAGTGAGGCCTTGTTCCCACTCCTTCTCTGGTGCTCTGGCAGGGCCCTAGCCAGGAATTCTATCCAACACCCAACTAATTCCCACCACTGTGCCATCAGTAAAGCCTTGACTGTCATGCCTGGTTTGTACTGTGCTGGGAGAAGTTAGGGGTGGGTCTGGGCACACAGTGGTAAACTGAGGCCCTTTGTCTTTCAGGCCAGGGTAGTGAAGGTCAGGATGGCTAGTACGCTCCCCAAAGGGAAGAAAGAACAGTCTCAGTGTTGGTTTGAGGGAAATCCTCCTAATGTCTCTCTAGCCAGGGCTTAAAGAACTTTGGCCTGCTGTCCCTGCAGTGAGGTTCAGAGCAGGCCCTTCTCACACCGAGACTGCAGCTCCACTCACCCTGGCTGGAGATGCGGCTTCAGGACAGCACAGAGCTCAGTCACCAAGGCCTCCAGGCCTGGAGGAGACAGGCTGCTCCAGAGAGTAGATTCTCCAGAAGGAACAGGGCTCAGAGTGGAACCCACCTGTGATAGGTGGGAGGAAACTTTAGTCTCTACAGGTTGCTTCTGAGCCTTTTCCCACATCCACTCCCACGCCTAGGGCCTCACCAAGTACAGGGAGGTATGGATGGTGTCAGCCAAGTAAGCACTGGTTGGCCCAGCGGGAGCCTCCCCAACTGTTTTCTTCACTTTAAAAAACATTTCCCGCCACCTGCAGGAAAGAGGCCCAATGAAGACTAGATCCAGACCTCATATACATATATACATATATGTGTGTGTGTCTCCTTTCCAAGAGCAAGGGGCCTGTGTCAGTCACTAGGATTCACCGCAGGGACAAACTCAAGAGCAGCACAGACAAGTGGCCCTAGACATGGGGCAGGGGATAGGGGCTGGGTAGGGGAAAGGAGAAGATGGTCTTTCTCATCTCCCTGCCTGGGTCACACACACTGAGGGCAGGAACTCTGTCCTCTGTGACAGCCTTCAGAGAACCCAGGTCAAGGAGAGACCACCCTAATAGGAAGCCACTGCCACACTAGGCTATGAGCACCTGACCATTTTCACTGGCGTCAGAATAGTCTCCCTCAAATTCCCCAAAAACCTCAGAGGGAAGGGCGCCTTGGCTCCTAATCATCCACAGAAATCTAGTTGTCAGCAGATTCCTTCATATCACCATCTAATGTGGATGATTCTCTATTTTGGCTACACATTAAAATGATCTGTGAAGCTTTTAAAAATCACAGGTTACACGAGTCCATTCAGCAGGTGAGTGGTTGTCAGGGACTGAGGAAAGGAGGGAGTAGGGATGGCTGCTCATGGCTAGGGGTCTCTTATGGGGTCATAAAACTGTGCTGGAATTAGTGCTGTTGGTTGCATGACCTTGTGAATATACTAAAAGCACTGAATTACACTGGAAAATTATACATTAAAAACAAATTTTCCTGGTATATGAATCATAGTTTTATTTTAAAATGAACATTTAAAAATAGTGAAAACATCTTCCCTTCCCCTGGGATAAACAAAAGCCTGCGTATGCCCCAGCCCCGCCCTGATTCTGTTCCACTAGGTCTGGGGTAAGTTTCAGGCATCTGTGTGTTTTGAAAGTTCCCCTCGCCATACCAGGACGGTACAGTCACCAGTGAGTGTCAGAGAAGGCTCACTCCGCAGGCTAACAGGAAAAAGGATGGTAGCAGGTAGCAGTTATTAGGCCAGTTTTCCAGATCAATACATAACGGCTATTCCCCTCTACTCCTCAGGCAACAAAATAATGACAGGGTCAGATTATAATCTAAGCCTTTTAAGGGCCACTCCAGCAGGGAGCAAACTCCTTTGCTCAGTGTCCTGCAGTCACAAAGCTGCTCCCTCTGGCACAGATGGGAAAGCCTCCAGGGGGAGGGGCAAGCATACCAGGTCAGTATTGTTAGTATTATGGGAATCTTGTAACTATTACAGTTGGCAGTGATTGCAGCAAACACTAGCGCGTCAGACAAACTGTCCCACTGTGACTCATTGTCACAAAGGCTGGGTGGGACTATAACCCAGCAACTACCCCAGCAAATGCTTTGGGTCAGAGTGCAGGCGCAAGCCCCAGCCGGCCCCAAGGAGGTGGTGTTCTGGGAGTTGTGGAGAGACCGCTCTCTTCTGTGGAGAATGACGGGATCACCTCAGAGAGAAGGAACATAGAGGGGCTAGAACACTCATCTCTCTCTATCTGTCCTTGGACTGCCTCCCTGCCCATCCAACTCTGCTCTCCTTAGGATTTAGGATCTGTTCAGGAGAAAGAATTTTGTGCTCAGCCCTGAGAGGGAGGCAGGTCCTTACAGGGCTGAAATGGCAGAGGTCCAGGAAGAGAACTGGCTTGCTGGTTCTGTCTGGGAAGGTTGAAGGGGTGTAGAGCCCATTTTTCATTTAAAGTAAAGATAGCTCCCAGACATATGCTGTATTTAAGATGGGAGACAGCAGTGGGAATGACTGATAAGTGTCAGACTGGCATTTTCTACTAGGCCTGGTTGAAGATATGATCTGGGGAAGCTCAGAGGTGTCATGGAATACTAAATGGGGTGATACAGCACTGCCATCTGGGTTCCACAGTGCTGAGACTGGGGAGATTGAGCACTCGCCAGAATCAGGAGCTCCAAATAAGACCTTTCTCTCTTGGCAGAAAATGCAGGCTGGCTGAGCCAGAAATCTTGGGCTCTTATAGTGCAGTGCCTACAGGCTGCTCCTGTCATCTCACTGAGATTTCCTTGAAAGTTGGGTTAGTGTATCTATCAATTGTGTTCTCCTAGAAAATAGCTACAGGGAAGCAGTTCTGACTAGAGGGACTGGCTGCTGTATGGGGTTACATTTTCTTCTCCCGTCACATTAATAAAATTAAGCAATCTCTGAAATGTTTGTCTTCCCATTTTACTTGGAGCCTCTGTGGTCAGAGAACAGAAAGATTAGACACCCTGTTTGGCACATGCCTCAATTTTGCTCTAAAGAGAGGCTTCTCCAGGATAGCAGTGACATGCCTCCTCCCACCTGCTCTTCCGGGAGTGAGGATGGAAAAGCAGCGTGTGCACATGCCATCACTCCAGGCAGAAGTCCGAGCCTAGATCTCCTTGTATAGAGTATATGGGTGGAATGGCCCAGGTTCTGGCCCAAACGATACTATGGTTGAGAATGGAAAGCCAGCAATCCCATCCTGGTTTGCGCCATTAAATTACCCTGAATGCTTTTCTTCATCTAGGTACAAACAATAAATTTTGAGGCCAACCTGCCATGGCCAACAGGCAGGGGTCTGTAATCTTTTTTTGTTGCATGCCTACTGAGAATCTGGAAAGGGTATGTACCTTCTCTCCAGAAAAGTGTACACAACAGACGTCCTTATGCACAAGATTAGACCATGCAATTTGGGAGAAGGGGGTCATAGGACTCCTGCATCCAGGTTAAGAATCCCAGCCCCCAGCTGAAGGACAGGAGGCAGCTTCGTACCTGGGCAGTTTCTCAGGGCTTTCTTCCAGGACCTCTACTTGCCCAACGGTCGGCACACACAGAACATCCCCTTCCTGGACTGCCCTGGAACACAGCAGTGGCCTCAGTAAGCTCACAGTGGAAGTCAAGAGTGACTTGACACATCCTCCATGCCCGCTCCCAGCATGCAGACTACTGCTTAGTGGCCTCCTGCCCACCCAAAGACCCCTGGCAGATCCAGAATGAGCTGGGGGCAAGAGCAGAGAATCAGACCAGTGAGGGATAAAGCAGGACGTTGGTTTTGGGCCCCTTTCAAATTAAAATGAGGGGTTCTATGCTACCTAAATCTAGGTGCCATAGGTTAGGGGAAATGTTATTCTCTTCCTGAAAGGGGTAAGTAGCTAACCTGGGTGTCTGAAAGTGCAGGCAAAGAACATGATCATAATTTCCGTTAGTGCTGTAGTGGGGGGAGGACACAATCTCAATGTGTAATTCTTTGGCAAACGGAGGTCCGGGCAGCACTGAGCAGCTTCCTTTGTCGTTGGGGTTGCTGGAGTCTTCCAGATACCTCTAGCAGAGAAATAACCACCGCTTTATGACCTTTCCCCAAGGAATCAAGCTCTGCCCTATCACTTAGAAGCTAATATATCTATTTTCATCTTCTAGCCTTCCCATAACCACAAGTCTTGTGGGACATGTGGCCCCAGTGACTAGAGCTGAATACCTCTTCTATTGGGCACCATTAAAGGAGATGTTACCTCCTTTAATGTTTCTAGCTCCAAAAAGCTTCTTGATAAGGATAACCTTTCTGTGACCGCTTAGATTGGCCCAGAGCCAGTGAAGTGATATATTTAATTTCCTTTAGTTTTCTGAGTCATACCTGACAGCCACTGGGGTTGATATTAAGTGGACATTATTGCAGACACTGAATTCAGGCTGTGGGAAAAGCCTATCATCTCACTGAGACTGGAAGGATTGGTCAGCTGAATGAGCTTCACTAGCTTTTCCTTTATTCAGAAGGAAACCCACACCTGACTGATTCATGCATATCTTATATCTTCTGGTATCCCACAACAGTAACAGGCCATGTCATCATTGTCCAATAGAACCTTCTAGAGTGAAAACATGTCTTAGATCTACATGAGGCTTTCAGTATTTGACAGGTGACCAAAGCAACTATAATCAACTGAATTAACTTTATTTAGCTTAATTAACTTACAGAGTCACAAAATGACTAGTGGTTTCCAAATTAGATTAGATTGGATAGGTCTAAAACATACATCTAGATACTTACAACACAAAAACGACATTTGTCCCTCCAAACACAGTTCTTTATTCCCTTCCCCCACAATTATCTTCCTTAAGTGAGCTCCTTAAAGGCAGAAACTAAAAACTTCTCTTGGATATATTTAATAAAATATTAAACACCAGCCACCAGAGATAATAAAGAACGCCTCTCTTCAAGGAATTTAGAATATAATCGAGAATGATTACATAATCATAACAAACAGAAGAAAATAACGCCCTAAGAAAGGTACAAAATGCTAGAGAAATTATGTTAAATTTGCGTGAGATTAAATTTATGATGGTGAGATAATGGAAGGCTGTGTGAAGAAGGTGGCATCTTTAGATGGACATTCAAAGAAAGGATGATAGGATTTTGACAGCTGACTCTAGTGCAACAGGAAGGAATATGAAGTCAAGGTAAAACCATACTACCCAGACGAGACTGGATACACTGTAGCGATTCAAGAAGTGCCCAGATGTACACACCCCCCCCACCCCATCTGACAGTGACGCCTACCTTTCAATTGGGCTGGAAGTCCTCCCCACCTGCTTGTGATATTTTGATTATAGACTAAGTGACATTAAGTAAAAAGTCTAAGATCTGAGGAGTAAGGAATCGAAATTCTACAGCCCGGGTCTTCCAATTCAATTAAGGGGCTAAGGAGGAGAAAGCATTCTTGACCCCTGTCCTGTGTCGTACCTGAATTCTGAGCTCGCCCACTTCCAGGGGATCACAGCCGAGATTAAAAGCCAGAGTAGCAGGCACAAGGGCCAGTCCGTCAGCGAGGGGCTCTCCCAGCTGCCCAGAGCCTGGTCCCAGCCTTTCTGCGAGGTCCCAGGGAGGCTCTAGGACCTGCACCGTGGCCAAGTGTGGCTGGGAAGTGTTCGAGGACTCTCCGACCCGAGTCACCCACACCCACTCGCCCTGAAAGAGGCCGAGGGTCCGGAGACAGCGCCGGCTCACCCCTAGTGAATCTCCAGTCCCTCCCAGAACTCCCCGAAGTCTCCGGATAGTGCCAGAAACCGCGAAGGAAGACACCACCGGCGGGGGTGGGAGCTGGCTGCTGTCCCCAGTCTCCGGACCCAGTTTGGTCCGCCCACGGAGTTCAGTCACAGCCAGCCGCGTCCCCGGACCCAGCAGCCCTTGCAACGCCGGCCGCGTTTCCAGCACCCGCGGTCCGGGCACTGGCAGGGCCTCTCCACGCCTCACCAGCAGCGGCCCAACTCGCGGGCCGAGCCCGGGCCCCGGTGAGGTGCCAAGCAACGCCCAGCCCAGCGCCGGGGGTCGCCGGACGGGTCGCGCCCGCACCCAAGAGCCGGAGCCCAGGGCCAGGAGCCTCAGTAGCGCGCGGCTAACCAGCAGCTGCGGGGGCCCGGGACCCTGATGTTCAGTGTCCGCGCCCGGCCCCTCCAAGGCAGCAACTAGCAGTGCTGGGCCTGCCGGGCTCTCCCCTGCAGGCCGTAGGGCCAGCACCAAGCCCAGCCCCACCGCAGGCCACGGGCCCCCGGGCGGCAGCAGCACCGCCAACGGGGGTGTCTCGGTGGGGAAGGGGTCCAGGACCCGCAAGACTGCCAGCGACATGGCGACAGAGCACCAGCCAAAACTGCAGAGGACCCCGCTTCCGCAGCCGGAGAGGTAGGCGGGGCGGCGGAGCTTCCGCTTCCGTCGGGGGCGGGGCGAGGAAGGTGGGCGGGGCGTCGGGCGGGGCGTCGGACGCCGCGCGCTTGCTCGGGGAGGGTGAGTTGCGTGGAGGCTGAGCAGTTCGTGGCGCCACTGCGCTAACGCAGTTCTTGCGGTTGCGTAGGCTTTACGCACGCGCCCTGAGAATGTTTATAGGAATTTCCTTTTCGGGTCTGCTAGAGGAGTGAAGTTCTCTCAATTACCCTGCACCAGAGCATGTACCGAACACTATTGAGTGAACAGTCTGGACCAACTTGTCCTAGCGCTAGGAGCTGTGTGAGTGGAGTGTTGTGAGTTTACTCCTGGGTGGAACTCCCACAGTTCCCGCTGTGGAACTGTGGGCACTGAGGTTTGGGGGTTGTGGAGAACGTTGCAGGAGGGAGGGGTAGGATAAGAAAACTTTCAGACATACTTATAGGTATGTTGTAGCTGCTGGCTGAATTACTACAAGTGATTCATGGAGCTTGGTGCTGCCACACCTGTTCGAACACATCCTACACAAAACCTACGTCCCTATGCTTCTTGTCCTGTTCGTTCACCTCCCACCAAACTTGAAGTGAAAATAAACAGCATCGCCTTTTCATCCCTCCGAAGTCAGTTGTCCTCTCCACCAACCTTGCAAAGGACAAGTTTTCTTTTTCTATTCTAGAGTGGGACGTGCAGCAACAGTGTGAAGCTCATGATTACTGACCCAACAGCCTGCTTGCCCACATGTGATATTACTTGGATTCCATCCTTGTCTCCATCTCCACTGCTCTGTGGAAGACACTTGAATGCTGGTAGGTCATACTTCCAGTATTAACAATATATTTGCCCTGAGAATCAATGGATTGGTTGGTGACAATGTATTCTTACTAGAGCTTTATCCAGAAAGTTGGACAGAGGCCAACTTTCTCTTTTCCTTCATGAGCTATGTATGAGAAACTCTTCTATATTGTGCATTATGCATTCCTGAAAACTTCCTAAAAATCTGAATGTTATATTTACATAATATAAGGTATGTCTACGCACAGGAGGTCATTAAAAATATTTTTAATGGAAATGTTTTTGCATATCTGATTATAGTGCCTTTCGTCCTAAACCTGGAATTGCCTGGATGAACATCTGTAAAACAGCATGCAAGAGGCACTAGGTACTTGAATTCATATGGATGAAAGTTCCCAGTTGGTAGTCCTAAACTAGTATGTGATTCTGGCTCCAGTCCCCTGGAGGGATGGAGTATGGAAAGGTGGTAGGGTAGGCTAAAGAAGATATGCCTGCTTTGCACACAGCAGGCAAGGAGTAGGCCTCAGGACTACAGTGTTCCTTTAAATCATGGGAATGGGTAAATACATCTGGTGTCTTCCCCTGGGTCAGCAACCATACATACATAAATACCCATCCACAAATATAGGTCGTTTCTTCCCAGTTTCCCCCCAGCAAATAATGGTTGGTATGCAGTCCACTTTGTATTACCTTAAGATCATCATTAGTCATTGAAAGCCAAGTACTAGTTCTGTAAAATAACCAAGAGCCTACATTTGTTTTTGTCTTTTTAGGAAGACTTATTCATTTATGCATATAAGAACTGGGGTACAGGCCAGAGGTGAGAGGGTGGTGAAAGGATTCACCAGAGACAGAGAGGGGAACAAAACAGATGGATTAACTGAAATATACTGCTGAGGGGGGCAGCAGGCAGGACAGGAGAGGTCTGCTGTGCCATGTGGGTCACCTTCTTAGCTGGGGATTGAACTCATGCTGCAGTGGCTGCAGATAGCTTCATGGTGCTGTGCTTTAATCCCTTGCGCTACCAGGGAGGGCCCTAGGAGCTTACATTTATTGCCTTTACCTCTTACCTCTGTTCACCCTTCTAGGTACGATGACCTTAACCTTCCTTCCACTTCTCTTGACACTTTTCTGCAAAGATCACTGGAAACCTCTTAATTGCAGAATGAAGGTAATGCTACTTGATCTCTATCTTAACCTTTTTCTGCAATTGGACTTTATTACTTCCTTTACCACTATAACCAGTTTTACTCAGACATCTTTGACAGCCTCCAGCAGTCACTCTCAACTTATCCCTCTCCCTTACAGTTCTCCCCACAATTCAGTGAGTCCCCAAATTCTGTTGATTGTACACATTTCCCAATTCCATCTTTTCTTCTCCATGCCCATTACCACTGTCTCAAAATGTCGCTCTTCTGTTGTAAGGACCACCGGTTTATTCTTGAGCCTTCTGCATTTTCTTCAGGTTGGTCAATCCGCTTCTGGATTTCACTTTCTGAAATAAATTCCTCCAGCCACCTCTAGGTTTGTGTACTTTATAACATTGTATTTTAATCATCTGTTTATACACATTTGTGAACTTCATCAGACTGAATTCCTTGAGGGCAGAAACTGGATACTGGTTTGGGATGGATGGATGGGGAGTAAAAGCTGTATTTTCCAGACCTTCAACTGTGCTGTTGCTTCTTCACTGTGTTCCCGAGAGCTAGAGTCCAGATGGTTCCCCAATCCCAGGACAGTACTACAGTAGGAATTATCGCAGGATCGTCCCTCTTTCCAAAATTACACAAACATGGGTTCTCATCTTCTCTCACCCAGATGCCAGCCCATCAGGCTTCCTCTTTGATCTTCTGCAAACCCTGTCCAGGGAAACGGATAACCTCAAAGACTCCAGGGAGCTCTCGCCACCGATTTTGAGTATAGAATCAGTGCAACGTTACCCTGACGACGAAAGCTACTCTTCATTTCACGGCTTCCTCCGGCAACTCGGACTGGGCGGAGTGGCAGAATGGAAAGAGCCAGAACCACTTTAGAGCTGGGTTCCAACGGCAGCGAAGAATGGCCGAGGCGGACGCACACAGACCCCGGAGTGCGGCACTCGGAGCTAGGCTTTGGCTTCCTTTTCCCCCGCCTCTTCGGCAGAGCCCGACCCACTTTAGGGCGGGATCTGCCCCTGCAGCCAATTCTGGGCGCCGAACCCTGGCGGTTTGTACTCTTCCTTTCCAATGAGAAAAAAAGGAAGCTGCTTGGCCCCAATGACCAATCCGAGGAGGCGGCGCCCGGTTGTCAGGCAGGTTTGTAGGAGTTCGGGCCAATTGGAGGCGCAGACACCGCTCGACCCGGGCGCAGCGCGCAGGCGGTGGCGAGGAGACGCGGAGCGGGCCGAGTGCGGCCGAGCAGGAGCAGGAGCGGGGCCCCAGGAGCTGGGCCGGGTCCGGACGGGCCGAGATGCCCTATAAACTGAAGAAGGAGAAGGTGAGCGTGGCCCTTAACCCCCGCGCCTCTGCCTTGGGGCCTGCGTGGAGCGCTGGGAGGGGCCCGAGCCAGGCCCGGGACAACCCCGGACTGACCCTCCCGTCCGGCCCCTGCAGGACTCCCGGGGCCAGCCTATCGCCCCCGCTGCAGGTCGCACCCCCAGCTGTGCCGCAGCCAGGAGAGCTCCCTCACCTTGCCCGGGATAGAGTCGCCCCACATACATCTCCCTCCGCTCGCTCGTCCCTCCAGCTGCCCCCCCTGCCCAGGGTAACCTGCTCCCTCCCTCGAGATCTGCCCGACTCCCAGGTCACTCCCCTGCGCCCTCCACTCCACTCTCCCATCCCCCATCCGTTTGGGACAGACCCTTGTCTGAGACCGCACCTTCCTCCAGAGCTGCCCCTTTCCCTTTCTCTTCTCACCCACTTGGGCCTGGGCCCGAGCCGCCCTCCTGAGCCGGCCTGCGCTTCTGGCCCCCACAGCCCCTTCTCCCTGCCGGCCAAGCTCCCTGACCTAGAACAGCTCCGCTTTCTCCACCAGATCTGGCCTAGGCCCCTCCCTCTAGTTCTTCCCTCACACACAAACTTGTAAGCCTTCCTGACTGAGCCCTTCCTTCTGCTGATGGAACCTCAGAACGTCAGTGCGGGCAGGGACTTCCCAGCACATTCAGTGGGATTCTTCATGGGCCAGATGAGGAGACTGAGGCCCAGACAGGGGAAGGGACTTGGCCAAGGTCACTCAGCCTGCTGGAGGCCCAGCTGCAACCTCAGATCTTCGCCTTAAATGCCTCTTCTGTTGCAAAGCCTCCTCTAACTGCTGATCCTAAACCACTCAACCTTTCCTAGTCTGAGCAGGCTCCTCCCCTCATTCTTAATCTTAGACTTTGCATCTTCCTTTTTTACATCCATGCCAGTTTTGTCTTTCTGCACCCTCTCCTCAAATCAGGAATCTGTCCTAACTGTCAGAATAGTTTTCCTTCTTAGTGCACAGGTCAGGCACCCTGGTCCCCCCATCTCTGCCACGGTGTCCCGATACAGGCGGCTTCTTGATCTTGCCTTCTTTCACCTTTCTCTTCTACCTCTACGCCGCCTTCCCCTGTTCCTCATCCCTGCCTTTCTCTACCCTCTGTTTCCTGCTGTTGCTGAGGTCTGACTCAGAGGTGTGGTTCCTTTGAGGTACAGACTCACACAGAGGATGCTAGGATACCAGTTCCAGCCTCCCCCAGCTTCTCTCCTAGGGATGGCCCCTGGAGGTGGGGGCTGGCTCTGGCCTGGTGTTCTGTGCACCTGCTTTGCCACCCCAGAGTTGTCTTGCTTTCGCTTGCCCTCTGATTGACTGGGGTGCTGGCCTACCATCTCTGAGCTAATCTGCTAGTCTCTTTCCCTAAAGCTGTTGGAGATTTACCAGACAGCTGTGACTCTGTTGTCCCCATAACTTCTCAGGACTGGAGTGTAAGGTCGGGGATGGCATACTAGATGCTGACCCTTGTGGCACATGCACAGCCTGCTGATGTGGGCGGGGTTATGTGTACCCCGCTCAGGCCCTGTTCTTGGGGCGTGAGCATGTGGGAGTAATTTGGGCACCTTAGCTGTAGACAACGCCCATGCAGTCAGCCACACCAGGCACTAGAGGACCCCTTCCAGGAGCGAGGAGTGGCGTGGAATTCAGGGGTGACTGCTGAGATCCCCGCCATCGTAGCTTTTAGCCCCATCCACAGAAGCCTTTCTCTAGTAGGTGATTGAGAAAACAGAATTCTGAAGTGGACTTGCTGAGACCATGGGCGCGAGTATTTGGAAGGACTGCAGTGCTTGGCCCAGGCCTCTTTGATCCCCTTTAAGTTTTACTTTCAGCTTTTGATTTCTAGTTGCATTTGGCCTCCTTACATGGTTGTCAGGTCCTGAGGGGGAGGCAGGTAATGATGTGACAGAGGCTTGCCTGAATGGTGTAGGAGCTAAGAGGAAGGGTGGGTGGAGAATCACCGCTCCCCTTTTCTGCTTCATCTCTGCCGGTCCCGTCCTGGCCACCCTTCCCAGACTCCTCCCTTTAGCCTTCCCTGAACTGTCAGCTGGGAATGAGCTGACCCTCCTTCTCAGGATTTGCAGAACTCTTGGCGGGTCACTTGTGTTCCCTTCAATTGGAATTAATTGCCTTGTCTTTTCTTTCTCCCTGAGATAATAGCTAAGTTCCATTTTGGGGTGGCTTCTCCCTGACACACAGTAGGCCTCCATGCCTAGGCACTGAGTTATTCCCCTGGGGGAATTTGAATTCCTTCCTCTTCCCTCCTCCTATTTTTTCTGGGACTGATTCCTTTAGGCACCTGGGTGAGGTGCTCCCTCCCACTTTCTTCTTGTAAATAATAATACTCACTTGGACTAACAGTAATATTTTAATCTGCAGACACTTTGCTAAAGGGAATTTAGGTACTCCGATTGTCCTCACTTTTATAGACAAGGACTCTGAGGCTCAGTGAGGCTAGTTAACTTGCCTGTGACTAGATAGCAAGTACGAGTTAGCCTGGAACACAGGCCTGGCTCTAAACCACCGTGCCCTGCAGCAATGGGCTGAAGCGAGCGCACTTCACCTGTTCTGCAGGAGCCAGAGAGCAAGGGTGGTGAGCCTGGTCTCCCCACACCCACACACACCCACACACACCAAAGCAGCTGGGATCTCTGTAGGCACATTCCTTGAGAGCTATGTCTGAGTATTGTCGGGTGGGTGGAGAATTAAAACAAAGAATAAGGAGCTTATGATCAGGTAGACAGATGATGGGTCTGTTTTGTCCAGGGAGCCCACATCTGGGGTGTGTGCAGATAGTCACCTCAGTGTTGTGCCTGCACCCCACCCCCCTTCTGCTCCATGCTGTGAGTCACGCCTGGCCCCTTGGCAAGGGGTCAGTGTGGCCAGCCAGGTCAGCAGGCATTGGGAGCAGGCAGAGCCCGGAGGAGAAGCGCCTTCCCCTTTGTGTCTCTGCTGGGCCCTGCTTGGCACACCTGGGAGTGACTTTCTTCCTCCCCACCCCAGGGAGCCTTCCCCCCACTGCAGCCCACACAGAGCTCTCATCTCCCTGGAATCCTTTTGCCCCTGTAGTCACAATCATTTCACACTTCTCACTTGAAGGGCCTCAATGCTGTTGAGCTGCAGAATCTCTTAGCTGAAAGTGATTTCCAGGGTCCTCCAGTTTGGTGATTTAGGACTTGAATCCCTTCTGCAACATGCCTTAGAGGAGGCATGAATGCTTGGATGCCTCAGGGCTGGGGAGCTGGCAGCCTCAGTAGGCCTCGGTTTCTGTGTAGCTGGTCTGGGAGAAAATTCGTCTGGACCCTCAGCCAGTCTTCCTTGTCTTTCAGCCCATGGCTCTCGGCCTGTGGGTCCAGAGAATAAGTTGCATCTTTAGTGTGCGCAGCAGCCCCTGGTTTATTTGTAAAGATCCCTTTCCCCTCCCCGACCTCCAGAACTCCTCCCTTCCAATGTTAACTATCCCAGTGACTGCAGCTGTTGCTCTCGGACTGGTCTTTGACTCCCCTTCTAGTAAGGATTGTGTTTCCCCTGAAGAAAAATTAGGATTTTCTTTGTCCCTCCTCAAGTCTGATGCTCAGGACTGGACTAGATCCTCCAGAATGGTCCCACCAATGCCAAGGACAAGGCTCTGGGCTCTTCTATGTGCCACAGTACCCAGGCACAAGGGTGATTTGTGGGCAGCTTGTGGTCAGACCTAAATCCTCAAGTCATTTTCACATATTCCCCAACCTGTCCCTGTGCAGTTGCTTTTTTTGGCCCAAAGCATAGGAAGGGATGCTGGGCAGGCTCCGAGCCAGCTCCCAGCTCCCGAGGGGAGCTTCAGACTAGTGCTCACTCCTTGAAATAGTTCAGTCCCTTAGCCTGTCCCTGGCTGTGCTGTCCACCCAGATGCTCTTGGGGCAGCTCCTAAACCTAGTAGTGTCCGTGGGCCTCAGCTGATCGCCAGTGGCACCCTCTAGTCTGGTGCTATTTGTGAAATTCCAAGAAATGTCTCTAGGTCTTTCCAGATGCCTTGGGGAGGGAGTGGTGACCACCTCCCCTCCAGCATGAGACCCTTGGTACCCCTCTGCCCTGTAGCCAGAAGCCAGTCACCACTTCACTCTGCACTGTTTTTTCCTTAACTCTCCTCATCCTTATTCTTACTGGCCAGAACTTCTCCCAGGTCCTAGGGCCCTAACTTATATACTTGCTAGTGAGGTAAAGAGCACTATCAGGCATAATTAGTGTTAGAGATGTCTTCCTAACCCCTACACTCTCTGTCTCTCTCTGTCTGTCTCTCTGTCTCTGTCTCTCTCTCCCTCTCCTTTCTCTCTCTCCTTTCCCTTTGTATCCAACAACCCCTCCCTAGCCTTGGGCTATGTCCAAAGTAGGTGCTTTTTGGTTTTGACTGCCTGAGAGCTCCAGAAGAGACCTCTTCCTTCCCCTGGCATCCGCTAACTCTACCTCCATTTTCTCCCTCCAGGAGCCCCCCAAGCTTGCCAAAGGCACGGCCAAACCCAGCAGTTCTGGCAAGGATGGAGGAGGCGAAAGTACTGAGGAGGTAATGCACTTGGGGCTGCCCGAGTTGCGGTGCAGGCCGCAGGTCCTTCAGTCTGACTGGGAGCGGAGCAAGGAAGCCCGGGGCCAGAAGTTATTTGTGCAGAGGAAGATTGCGTCTGCTGCCTGGGAGGGACCCAGATGGCTCATCCAGAATGCCCTTGGGCAGGCTTTTCCTCTGCCTCTGGTAGACCAGATAAGCTCTCCAGTTCTTCAGGCTCCCCAGTGATTCCTGTGAAAGTCATCTCTCTGACTAAGCCTACCAGAACTTAGAGGGCTACAAATGCCTTTGTTCTGTGGGCAGAAAGCTAGGGACCCTGGGTCCCAGGGAGAAGGGGAAAAGGACGTGGCAGCCTAAGTAGGTGACAGGTGAGTTCTGCCTGACTCTGCTGATCAGGAGGTAGGGAGAGACTAGTGATCCTCCATCAGGCAGGGCCCTTGGTCTCTTCTGAAGGACTGTCATAAGCAGAGGTCAGTGCAGTGATCAAGGCCTTTATGGCCGTAAATGGCAAATGGAGCAAGCACTGGCAGGTACAGGGACTTAAGAAAGTCCAAGGTATGTGTGTGCAAGCTGGGAGTGTACACCGTGGCATGCTGAGACTTTGTCAGCTTGTGGACATGTTGCTCACGCATCTGTGTTACCTGGAAGCGATGCTCCCTCGGACTGCCATCAGTCCGGCCATAATAACCAGTTTGGAGGGATGGAGAACAGCAAGCAGACCTTTCCAGTTGTGGGCAGGTCTTGTGGTTTTGGGGGGAGAGAAAAGATCAATTAACAAGTGCTTGAGATTTCGATTTTTCTGGGTACTGCTGTTTCCTATCACCTTTCAAGAGATCAAGCACTTGTAACCATTATTTTAGAGTGATTGGAAGAAGTAGATAGGATAGTTTGCCACCATTTTACAGATAAGATTGTTGAGGTAAATCTCTCCTTCCTTGGCACTTACACAGTCTTCTGGCCAAGTCTCCAGGGCAGCCCTTATCGGGCATTGTGTCCCCTTACGTGTGTGGTGGGGACCACACGGATTCAGGGAAGGAGCTGGGTGTTACTGCAAATGTGGGCTTGGCTCAGAGGAAATCATCAGTACATGCGTCTGTCGACACTCCCCCTGGGCTCAGGAGTGGTGACATCTGGGAGACCCACAGGGGAGGTGGCCAGGGGCCAGAAACTGACATTCAGAACAGTAAGAGAGTCTTAGAAACGGGGCTTAAAGGGATAGAAAGGAAAAAGGGGGCTGTCCCCGCCTTTTGCCTAACTAACCCCACTTGTTCAGGTGCTTCACCTGCCCACCTCCCAGGGTGCAGGGCCCCTTCCAGGTCCTCTGCAGGCTCCCATGGTGCAACCCCAAGTAAGAGCTGGCAGACACCTTTGAATATAAGCCTGTCCTTTTGTAGATGGGGAAAATGAAGACTCAGACAAGTTAAGAATCTACTGAGGCCAATGGCTGGCATTTCTGCACTGCCTTCCTGAACAGTCTGTTGAGGGCAGTGGTCTGTATTCAGCCCTCTGGAAAAGGAATGTGGAGTCTGCTTTGGGGTCTGTGTTGTGAAACGCTGCTCAGGATTTACCTGCAGGAGACAAGCTGCAGGGATTTTGCTCCGTGATTTTCTAGAAACACACCCACGTGGCCTTAGGCAGAGAGATGGTGGCAAAGTTAAGGGCCAGGCTGTGATGCCCGAAAACTGGCACAGTGCAACCTTTACCTTTTTAAAAGATATTTATTTATTAATGCATACAAGAACTGGGGCACAGGCCAGAGGTACAGGCAGTGAGAGGAGTCACCAGAGACAGCGGGGAGCAGAACAGGCAGATCAACGAAGTACACTGCTGAGGGGAGCAGCAGGTGGGTCAGGAGGGGCCTGCCGCGCCATGTGGGTCACCTCCCTGGCTGGGGGTCAAACTCAACTCGTACTGCAGTGGCTGCGAATAGCTTCATAGTGCTGTGCTTTAATCTGTTGTGCTACCTGGGAGGGCCCCCCTTGCCCTTTTTCTAGAAGTAGGGGCTCGTCCAGCCATTTGTGCCTCTGTCAGGCCCTCGCCAGAGCCTCCCAATGGGGTCTGAGTACCACAGCGGGCAGCCTTCCTTCTGGGCAGGTGCTCGAGCGCTGGGCTTCTAGGGCAGTCTTCACAAACTGCCAAACTGAGTAGCTTTAAATAACAGGCGTTTATTCTTGCACAGTTCTAGAGGCCAGAGTCTGAAATCAAGGTGTGTGCGGGCCATATTCCCCTGAGATGCAGGGAAGAATGTGTTCCACTCTGTTCTCCTAGTTTCCGATGACTTTGAGCAGTACTGGGCATTCCTTATCTGGTAGCTGCGTCAGTCCTGTCTCTGCCTCCATCACTCCAGTGTCTGCCTCTGTCTCCACATGGAGTTCTCTGTGTCCAGATCTCCCTCGTCTTATTTATTTACTTAGTAGAATAGGGGTATAGGCCAGAAGTGGGGGGCGGTGAGCTGATGCCCCAGAGACAAAATGAGGAGCCGAACAGGTGGATTGACTAAAATATACTGCTCAGTACTGAGTGTAAGTATTTTGCTTATACGTAATCTTTTAATCTTCTCAGCACTCCCTTAAGGTCTTTCTGCTGTTATAATATTCCCATTTCATAGGTGACATTGAGGCATAGAGATGTTAAGTAGCTTTTACTTCAGGAGTAAAGAGCAGAATGGAATTCAGCCTGGGACTCCAGACAGTTCTGTGTACTTAATGACATAATCACTCTAGCTGGGAGAGCCTAGGAAAGTCTTAGAACAGAAAGGGGTCTTAGGAGATTAGGAGTCACTGTGACCTTTCATGTAGCAAAAGTCCTTTCTGGTTTGTCTTTGAAAATAAGCAGTTCGTTACCTGCGGTGGTTGTGCCTTTTCCTGATTTCTGGGAATAGGGACGGAGAGAGGGAGGAAGGAATTATCCCAGTTGCCCCCATTTCATCTTTTCTTCCTAGAGCTCGAGTTGGTACCCTGAAAACATTTCTGGCCTGATCAGACTTCTACCAAAACCATCTATTGGCATCTCACTGTTGACAAGTTAAAACCCAAGCTCGACCTGTCAACCCTTCTGAGCTGGCTGCACCCTGTCTTCCAGCACCTCTCCTGGCTTCTTGCCCCACTCACTGGTGCCCACCTTGTGATAGCCCTTTAATGACCCAGGGCTCTTGATGCAGTTTCACTGTTCCCCGTTGCTTTCTTTCTCCCTTACCCTCCCACACCCGCTTTTCCCCCCTAGGAATCTCATGTTTTTCCTTTAAGAACCAAATCAAAAGTTGCCTCTTCTGGTATATCTTCCCTAATTCTTCTGACAGTTAGGTAGAACTCTAGATGCAGTATAGGAGAGAACGCCCCTGTGATTTGGGGGGAGTTAAACTAAAATGATCTCTATTCAGCTAATTCATTATGCAAAAGCTGTGACATTCATCTTTGCATTTTTTCACTGCTTTTTATTTTTCTATGGCAAATAGAAAAATGTACTTGCTATAGCAGTGAATACATTTCTGTCTCCTCTGTGCTTCATTATTTGGTATGATTAGTAATGGTGGCTATGTTAGGATCAGGTTAGACTAGGAGTTGTACAGAGTAGGCAAGTTTATTTGCAGTCTCCTCGAGTGTGAGCATGGTCCTTAAATGCAAAATGCCACTTGGTGGCGGAAGGCCTGGAAAGGCTGCTTGGTGTTTAGATCCTGCTGAGAGTTTAGAAGTGGGAGGTGAAGGTGCTTCAGGCACAGGAGATGGCCACTTGAGAGTCTCAGGAGTGGCACCAGGCAGGACAGCAGGAAAGCAGGGGGTGGAGGGCAGCTTGCCCATCATCATTATCTCCCCTTGCTCTGATGCCTGCAGAAGGCATCAGGGGCTCATCTGCCTCCCTCCTTCAGCCCAGGGGCAGGAGAGGTTAGAAGCTGGAAGAGTGAACAGAGCAGGCGATGGATGTCTCACTGAGGCTTGGCAGCTAGGGACCAGCTGTCTCTTAGATGCTTCTTATGTCTGGGACTTGGGAACCAGTGGTTCTTCTAAAACTGGGGTGGCCTAGTGGGGTGTGGGTGGAGCAGACCCCGCCAGCCTGCAATAACATAATCTTAGTGAGGAAGGGAACTTAGGCAGTGGCTCATTGGGTAGTGGTTTGTTTGTTGTTGTTGTTTTTTCCTGACTTTTGGTTTGTGCCTGCAACTCTGTTCTCTTGAAGCCTTACTTGGAGAATGGTAGGGAAACTGATCTAGTCCAGCTCCTTCCTTGTTAGCAGGGAAAGTCAGGTCTTGCTTTTCCCTTTCTAGAACAGACTGCCCCCTTCCCTGGATGCCCCATTAGTACTGTTTCATGGAGCTGCAGGGGAAGATGGAGACAGACATGTGCCCTCCAGTCTTGTTCCTCAGCTGTCACTGAGCCCTGCACCTAGTATCGTTCATGTTGTTCCTCCTGCTACGTTCCTGCCCCTGCTCAGTGCTTTGTTCTGACGGTTGGTTCCTGAGCTGGGATAGGAAGGACCTGTGAGGAGGGGCCTGACCTAACCCTGGGCAGACAACCAACCAAATGGAATGCCTGTTAGGTACTGGTACCTTGGGGACCCAAAAGGGTGCAAAGCAAAGTCCTCAACTTCAGAGACACTGTCTAGTGGGCTGGGAGACACATGAACAGACTGAGCAGAGGTGTAGGTGCGGGTGAGCCCAGAGCCAGTGGGATAGGGAAGAGGGCCAGGAGGCCAGGAGGCCCGGAGGCCAGGACGCCAGGACGCCAGGACGCCCACGGTCTGCAGTGACCTGGGAAGTTTTAGAAGAATGTGGGACTGAAGGCAGTTTTGAAAGATGCAGTGCTTTCTTGGGTTCCCTCTTTTATTTTTTTAAGATTTATCTATTTATGTTTACAGAACTGGGGTACAGGCCAGAGGTGTGGGCGGTGAGAGGATTTACCAGAGGCAGAGTGGGGAGCAGAACAGGCAGATCAACGAAGTACACTGCTGAGGGGAGCGGCGGGCCGGTCAGGAGAGGTCTGCCGTGCTCCCTTGCCTGGGATCTGGTTAACTCACGCAGACCGAGGCTAGCTTCATAGTGCTGAGCTTCAACCCTTTGCGCCACTAGGGAGGGCTCTTCAGTTCTCCCTTTTAAAATAAGGATGATAGTAGTTTCTAAGGAACATTTGAGGTGAACTCGCTTCAGGAATTTCCAGCCTTACATTCCTAAAATTCAGGGAAAAGGAAATCATTGTTGTGGAAGATTCTAAAGCACTTCTGTGTGTCATAGATTTGTCAGTTTAACTCTGAGCAGTAGGTAAACTCTTGTCATCCCATTTTAGAAATGAGGAAACCGAGGCACAGAGAGCCTACCTGATTTTCTGGAGGTGACTCAGAGCTAGAAGTCAGATCCATCTGGCTGTGTGCTCAAGTCTGTGTTCTTGACCACTAAACTCCACACATAGGAGGGTTTGCTTCTTGTTTAGGTAAGTGGAGGCCTGAAGTAGGAGAGTCTGATGCATTCCAAGCACTGTCTCTAGCTTCTGTCTTTCCCCCTTCCTTCCCCTGTGGAAGTGAGATCCATCCGCTATATGCAGGAAGAGACACCAGGTGTCTTGCACTGTGTCACCAAAATCACGTTGGCTGGTCACAGGAGAGAGACACGATGGCTGCTCTCGCCCAGCTTCCTTGCCCTATCCTGCTCACACTGGCCAAGGAGAAGGCAAGATGGTAGCAGGCACAGTGGGCCCACAGGTCTGCCCAGCCTGGGTACAGGGCTAGTGCTCTGACCCCTCTCACCTCACTCCTACGTTAGTCACAAGCTCCATATGTTCTTTTTTTTTTTTTTTTTTAACTCAGATACAAAGAAAAAACCATCAGTAAAACTAATATAGGAGACATTCATCAGGGGAGGGAAAGGGAGAAGGGCCAGAAGGGGAGGGAAGAACACATGTCTATGGTGGTGGCTCACGGGTGTCCTGGTGGTGGTAATTTTAGGGGACAACACCTGTGAGGAGAAAGCAAGCATTGTACAGAAATGATCGATGTAGGGGGAAAAATTCAGAGACAGCATGTGCATAGAAAGGGTTTTATGCATAGAAAGCATAAAACCTTTTGTCCTCCTATCCCAGAGGATTTAAAATTTCTCCCATTTGTATGGTAAGGCGTCAGAGTTCGGGAGGGGACTGGAGAGTAAGGACTGCTTTCCTGTGGGGGGGTCCCCCGGTTGCCTGTAGCCTCACTCTTCAGGCCTCCTGCGGTCCCAGGTGGGGCAGGGGCTGTACTGTGGCCCAGCCTCCTCTCCCGACGTGGTGTTATCTGGACATTCTTGGAGTAGCTTTGGGTAGACAGCCTGGTGAGCACTTACCTTTCGGCTTCTGAAAAGGGATTTTTAGGGGCTCTGATGCCTATGACTGGGAGGAAGTGAAGGGGCTGCCTCTAAAAATTAGCTTTCTCCCATTGTAGACACTTCAGTCACTGTTCATTCCATTGTCACAGGTGATCGTCATTGCACATTGCTTTACTTGTTCTTGTTCTTTCCTTTTCTCTTAAGATTTAGTAATTTTTGCACACAAGAACTAGCATACAGGCCACATATGCAGGGGTAGGGGTAGGTGACAGGATTCACAGAGACAGAGTGGGGAGCAGACTGATGGATTGACTGAAATACACTGCTGAGGGGAGCAGCGGGCGGGTCAGAGAGGTCTGCTGTGCCATGTGGGTCACCTCCCTGGGCAGGGATGGGACTTATGCCAGTTGCCAGCAATAGCTTAATAGCTGAGACTTAACCCCTGCACACTGGGGAGGCCCCTGTTCTTTCCTTTTCTTAACCAGGTTTGTGTTCTATGCTTGTGTTTTAATGTGGGCGACTCATTTTGCATATGCAGTTTTGTATTGTTTAATTTAGCATAGGAAGCAATTTTCTGTCATTACATGATTTTAGACTTTCTGTTGGATTTTATTAAAATTTTTATCGGCACAACATGTACCTCGTCCAGTCGGTCAGATAGCACTTATGCTTATGGTCTTGCAATGAAATGGGCAGCACCCAGCCCTTCTCCTGTTGCTCTGGGGCCACTTTTGCAACTCTTACCTCTTTTATTTTTTCCTTTTACTATTTAAAAAAAATTGTATTGCTGTTCATATTTTTACAGTATTTGATTTCTCCCCTCAGGTGTAGTCCCTGTAAATATCCACCACATCACCTGTGAAGCATCACCAGGGTCCCGTGCTCTTCCCACCCTGTTTTGATTCCTTACCAACCCCCCTTCAAGCCTCAAATCTATGCAATTCTTAACTCTTTCCTTACAGATTGGCTTCTGAATTTCATAATAGGATTCTTTGACTGCTTTAAAAAATCTTCTTGAGATATTATCCTTTGACTTCCTGCTGTGAATCATCAAGGTCTCAGTGTCTCCTACCTCCATGCAGACCTTTCTCCTCCTCCCAAAATATTTATCACCAATTTTGGGTAAATTATTAAGAATATGTAAATATTTTTTACAGCTGAACTCTGTGATTACATTTAGTACATAGTTTTTGTAAACATAATTTTAACTCCATAATATTTCATTTACTTATTTATTTGCTCTTCTAAATTCGGTTATGAAAGTGATCTGCACAAACCCTTTTTTTAAATCTAAGATAGAAGCTGTTTTCCAGCAGCTAAACTACTGAGACATTGGAATGACAGACATTGGGTGCAGGCCAGAGGTGCAGGGGGTGAGGGGATTCACCAGAGGCAGAGTGGGGAGCAGCAGAGGCTGATCTACTGAATTATACTGCTGAGGGGAGCAGCAGGTGAGAGAGGAGGCCTGCTGCGCCATGTGGGTCACCTCTCTAGCTGGGGATTGACTGGTGCTTCTGTGGCTGTGGACAGCTTCCTAGTGCTGTGCTTTAACCCTTGTGGCACCAGGGAGGCCTGAGATTCTTTAGAATTTTTTTTTTAAAAAAGATTTATTTGTTTATGCTTATAGAACTGGGGTACAGGCCAGAGATGTAGTGGGTGAGAGGATTCACCAGAGACAGAGTGAAGAGCAGAACAGGCAGGTCTACTGAAATACACTGCTGAGGGGAGCAGCGGGTGGGTCAGAAGAGGTCTGCCACGCCATGTGGGTCAGCTCCCTGGCCGGGGGTTGAACTCTTGCTGGAGTGGCTTCGGAGAGCTTCATAATGTGGTGCTTTAACCCATTGCACCACCAAGGAGAGCCAAGATTCTTTAACTTTTAATTGAAGTATTATGAAACATTTAGTAAGAGGGTTTGGTAATTTTTGGTGTACTGTTCAATGAATTTTTACGTATGTTTATGCTGTGAATCCCCTCCCGGATCCAGTCAGGACATAGAATGTTTCCGTTACTCAGAATGTTCCTCAGACCCTTCTTAGTCAATAACCACACTTGACTGCCACCTGTGCCCTAGGAGGAAAGCCACTTTTCTGTCTTCTGTCACTGTCAGTCCATCAGTTATTTCTGCCTGTTCAGGAACTAGAATATAGGGTTTTATTTTTGATTGAACTAACTGTAGGTTTCAGGTATACAGCATTATAAGTCAACACTTATATATATCGTGTTATGTTTGCCGCCAAGTCTAGTTTCTGTCCTATACCAAACTATGGTCCCCTTTTACCCAGTTTGTCCACCCTGCTTCCCTTCTGGTAACCACTGTTTTGGTCTTACCGTCTAAGAGCTTGTTTTTGTTTTGTTCTTTTATTTATGTTGTTTCATCTCCCATGAGTGAAATCATATGGTGTTCGCTGAACACCCTGTAAGTCCATCCATGTCGCCACATGTGGCAGGATTTCGTCTTGTTGTATCAGTCAGTGTAGTAAGGAATGAGTATTTGGGCAGCTCTTGATGTGTAGGCAGCAGGCATCACTTTGTGAGCTATGGCTCCTTGGCCACTCTCTTCCAGGGATTGCTATTGCTCCTGCAGGGCAGGAGACAGCTGCTTGCTGCCCAAGCTGGTGCAGGCACGAAGGGACCGAGGGATGGTGGGTGGCTCAGGCCGGGGTGGGAGGTCTGTCTCGGGGTGTGGACTTCAACGAGTCACTTGTTTGACCAGGCCCAGCCCCCACCCCAGCCCCCGCCCCAGTCTCAGACACCATCATCCAACAAGCGTCCCAGCAACAGCACGCCGCCCCCCACGCAGCTCAGCAAGATAAAGTACTCAGGGGGGCCCCAAATTGTCAAGAAGGAACGCCGGCAAAGCTCTTCCCGCTTCAACCTCAGCAAGAACCGGGAGTTGCAGAAGCTTCCTGCCCTGAAAGGTACTTGAAAAAATTCTCGGGGGCTGCTACACAGGCCTTGGGGATAATTGGCATGGTTGAAGTGGAAATCTGGGGTACTTTGGGGTGATGGGAATTCTAGAGAATGTGAGGGGGTATTCCCACAGGGGCTGAGGTGCCCAGCTGGCCGGTTAGTAGCAGGAAAAATAGGGGAAGGCCTGTTACAGTAGGGAATAGTATAAAAGGACTGGGGGATAGAACTTGACTTTTGAGCCTCCTCCTCTTGCCCCCCCAGATTCACCAACCCAGGAGCGGGAGGAGCTGTTCATCCAGAAGCTACGTCAGTGTTGCGTCCTCTTTGACTTTGTGTCAGATCCACTCAGTGACCTCAAATTCAAGGAGGTGAAGCGGGCAGGACTCAACGAAATGGTGGAATACATCACCCACAGCCGCGATGTTGTCACCGAGGCCATTTACCCTGAGGCTGTCACCATGGTGGGCACAGGGAGGGTACAGGGTAGGAGTGGGGGGCTTTGGAGAAGCCTGGACAGGGCACTAACCTGGCTACTGCCCCTCAGTTTTCAGTGAACCTCTTCCGGACGCTGCCACCTTCATCGAATCCCACTGGGGCCGAGTTTGACCCAGAGGAAGATGAGCCCACCCTGGAAGCTGCCTGGCCGCATCTTCAGGTACCAGGGCAGGGGCGCGGTTGGCTTTGGCTGCAGGGAGTGGGGTACTCTGGGGCCTGCAACAAGGGGCATGGCCCAGCCCTTGGGAACAGCCCCCTAAGTGGATGCTCCTTTCTTTCCACAGCTCGTGTATGAGTTTTTCTTACGTTTCCTCGAGTCTCCTGATTTCCAGCCAAACATAGCCAAGAAGTACATCGACCAGAAGTTTGTTCTTGCTGTGAGTCCCTGAGGTTCTTCCTTTTCTTCTACCCTAAAACACTATCCCCAGTTCCCTCCCTCCAGTACCAGCTCTTACTTCTGATGCTGAATATGTTCAACGGTGTCATGTGAGGAAACTAAGTGGGGTTAAAGGAACCCATTCTGCCCTTAAGAAACTTCCTGCATCACGGAAGGAAACAAAAAGGCCACACACTGGAGTATGCAGGCATGCATCCAGTGGTGGTGGTATCCAGACAGCATCTTGGTGGGAGGTGTGACAGAAGTGCTTTCCTGGGACTTGTGCCCAGCCCCTTCTCCAGAGGACCTCTGGGCATCCCTGGCCAGAATCCCGTGTCACCCTAGCCTTGGCCTCATGCTCATTTGCCACCTGCCCCTGCCTGCTCCAGCTCCTGGACCTGTTTGACAGTGAGGACCCTCGAGAGCGGGACTTCCTCAAGACCATCTTGCATCGCATCTATGGCAAGTTTTTGGGCCTCCGAGCGTATATCCGTAGGCAGATCAACCACATCTTCTACAGGTGAGAACAGGAGCCCAGACTTGGAGTCAGGCAAGCCCTGCTAAGGTGGGGCAGGGGAAGGGAGTGGGGCTGCACTACCCAGTGCTGGAGGAGCGTCAAGCTATCAGGAGAGGCCTTTTCTTCTCTTAGGTTCATCTATGAGACGGAGCATCACAATGGGATTGCCGAGCTCCTCGAGATCCTGGGCAGGTGAGAGGCGGGGCGTGGCACAGAGGGCTGAAAATGGTTGGGATGAGTGGGCCAGGGAGCTGGGGCCAGGAACCTTTGGTCCTCACAAACTTTCCTTAACTCCCAGCATCATCAATGGCTTTGCCCTGCCCCTTAAGGAAGAGCACAAGATGTTCCTTATTCGTGTCCTGCTTCCCCTTCACAAGGTCAAGTCCCTGAGTGTTTACCACCCTCAGGTGAGCTGGCTGCTTCTGGTGACCCCTCCACTCTGGCAGCAGAGAGAGGGAGGGAGCTCTTCCAGCTGGGAGGGGGTGGCAGAGGGATCAGAGGAAGAAGTCTGTACCTCTCCTTCCATTTTGGGGTCTTGCTTCCTCACTGATCTCTGTGAGGCCTGCTGAACTCTGCACATCACCTCCTTTCTACCTCAACCTTTTGCAGCTGGCATACTGCGTGGTACAGTTCCTGGAGAAGGAGAGCAGTCTGACTGAGCCGGTAATCCCCCTTCTGGGCCCCAGGGTCCACCTCTTCCTGGTGCTGTAAGCAGGTGCTCAGGAGGGAAGTGCCTGACAGGTGACATGCCTTCCTCTGAAGAAGCAAACCTGTATACACCTAGGAAACAGATCCAAGGCAGAGAAATGTGAACAGCTGAGGCCACTCAAGCTGTAGCCACCAGGGTGGGGGAGAGGACAGGAAAGGTGCCTCGAGAATCTTGTTGAGTGAGTGAGACTTTAGTCCCCCTGTCCTCACAGGTGATTGTAGGACTTCTCAAGTTCTGGCCCAAGACCCACAGCCCCAAAGAAGTGATGTTCCTGAATGAATTAGAAGAGATTCTGGATGTCATTGAGCCTTCAGAGTTCAGCAAAGTGATGGAACCACTCTTCCGCCAGCTTGCCAAGTGTGTCTCCAGCCCCCATTTCCAGGTGAGACCCACCCCCAGCACATCCCAGCCTCTGCCTCCCAGAAACTCAGGGGGCTCTGCAGCGAGGCCAGCCGGAGCTTTGCTGAGCCCAGCCTGTGCCCACCAGGTGGCGGAGCGTGCTCTCTACTACTGGAACAACGAGTACATCATGAGCCTGATAAGTGACAATGCTGCCCGTGTGCTCCCCATCATGTTCCCTGCACTCTACAGGAACTCCAAGAGCCACTGGAACAAGTAGGGGGCTAGCGTGGGGTTGGGTGGTAGGGATTTGCTTTGGGGACTTGTGAGGGACTCATCTGGTCACTCAGCAAGTGGGGCTGGTGCTCACTGCACACTGATAGGACCTTGAAGGGGGAGAAGCTACCTCTGTGAGAGGTCCCCAGCAGAGCAGTGGCTTGTATTATATCTCCTCTTGCAGTCAGATATTTTACAGCTTTGGAGACTTGATTCCATGCTGTGAGAAGCTGGTGTGATCCTCTTAGCGTATATGGGTTGAATCCCAGTGTTGTACAAAGGCTTTTCTGCTAAGAGCAAGTGCACTGTGATAGAGGTGCAGCCCATCAAGCGGTGGGGGCCTTGGATGGGGGCTGGAGAGTGGGCGGGAAGTGGTGGGAAGAAGGCAGGTCCTGGAGCGCAGGGTAGGGTAAGGATGCACTGGTGGGCCAATGTTTGCAAAGCCCCTGACAAACCTCAAGTCACATGACTGGGCCAGAGAGATGCGCTTACACTGTGCAGAGGTGCGGGAAATGGGGTCATAAATGAGAAAGCTTTCAGCAGAGACATTTTCTAGGAGAGTGCAAGGTGGAGTTTTGGCACTAGGAGCAGGCTCTAGCCTCCTACACCTCAGCTCTCTTCCCGGGCAGGACAATCCATGGCCTGATCTACAATGCCCTGAAGCTGTTTATGGAGATGAATCAGAAGCTGTTCGATGACTGCACACAACAATACAAGGCAGAGAAGCAGAAGTGAGTGTCTCTTCACTTGGGGGGCTCTCATCTTCCGTCACCAGCCCCCTAGGCCTCTCTCAAGCCCAACCCCAACCTGTCCGTGTTCCTTTAGGGGCCGGTTCCGAATGAAGGAGAGAGAAGAGATGTGGCAAAAGATAGAGGAGCTGGCCCGGCTTAACCCCCAGGTGAGGTTTTTTTGGCTACCACCCTGTACTGAGGGCCCCATCTTGAGCTGGGGGAGGGTGTGTTCGAGGAGGACACGAAGCGGACAGGTTCCCAAGCCCCCGGCGTGGTGCTCACCACCTGCGCGTGCCTCCTCTCCTTCTCAGTACCCCATGTTCCGAGCCCCTCCACCACTGCCTCCTGTGTACTCGATGGAGACAGAGACCCCCACGGCAGAGGACATCCAACTTCTGAAGAGAACGGTGGAGACAGAGGCTGTGCAGGTGGGAGGGCACGGGGGGGAGGGGGCCAGAAATCAAAGACAGCTCTGGAAGGGAGAGAAGACAGGAGCAGCAGAGTCAAATAAGGGGAGGAGACAGAAGACGTAACTGGAAATTGGTTGCCACGTCTTGCCTACTCCCTGTTCACACACAGATGCTGAAGGACATCAAGAAGGAGAAAGTGCTACTTCGGCGGAAGTCAGAGCTGCCGCAGGATGTGTACACCATCAAGGCACTGGAGGCGCACAAGCGGGCAGAGGAGTTCCTAACTGCCAGCCAGGAGGCTCTCTGACCCCCTCACCTTCCCACCACAGGGCCACAGCCCATTCAGCCCTGGGACGCTGCCCTCGCCCTCAACCCTCTGCTCCCCACTGGCTGACTTGGGGCAAGGCAGTGTCTCTCAAGCTACTCTAGAGAGGGGATGTGGGCATGTGAAGCAGGGACTCCCCCGGTCCCTCTTCTCCCTACAATGTGTTCCTCGCCTCCCTGTGGCTAGTACAGACAGGCTGAGCACTGAGATGCTCAGTATTCAGACATCTTGGGGATGTCTGTCCCCATCCTGCTCCTAACCCTACGGCTACCTGAGGCTGCTGAGAAATACACAAGGAATACATATGCTCCTCTTCTCTTCCCTTCATCCCCATTTGAACTCTAGGCATCTCCTCTCCCTCCCGATACACAGGGAGCAACAGGAGATGATCTTCACCAAAGTTACGTCAAGCCCCAATGGCCCCTGGAATGAGGTGGCCGACCCCCAACAGCACAAATAGGCCCCAGCCACAGCAGTGTGCAGGCTGATGGGTTGTGTTATTTCCTCTTACCCCCAGCCTGACCAAGATGATGAGATGTCAAATGGAGAAAAGTATAACTATGGACAATAGGTAATGGATATTATAGAGCCCTGATGGACCAGAGAAAGGGATGAATGAACACCTGCCCTGTGCCCCCACTTTGGTGAGCAGCAGCCCCAGGATCACAGACATGGAAGGGACCACCCTGGGGCTGATTGCTTTCCTGTGCTGTTGGTTCCCAAAGCCAGGAGAAAAGATGCAGGGAGCAATGCCCCAAGCATGGTTCCCCCAACACCTATTTATTTCTCTGTGCTGATGCTGGAAAGGCCAGCCCTTACTTGTTCCTTTCAGACACCTTGGAGTGGGGCAAGGGGCTGAGGGGGGCCACACCCAGGTTCCGGGGGCACAGGCAGTGCAGCTTTTGGCTGTGTACATAGGGTGCTTTATTCTCCACAGAGTGATACATGCTAAGGTGGGTTGGGCTTGGGCCAATGTCCCCATATGTACAGAACTGAATAAAGTGGGTCTCTGAGAAGAAGTCTGATTTGCCTGGATGTGGGAGGGAGATGGGGAGGGTGGAGATACATAGCCAACCAGGGGTGTGTTCAGTCCTGTGCTGGTTCTGGCCTGGAATGCAGGGAGCTAAGGCGGCTCTCAGGGTGGTCACTTCCAGGCAGGGGTTGCCTGCCGGGCTTGGAGGGCCTTCTGTACCACATCTTCCCACTGGGCATCTGATATCTCCCGAGCCCAGGCAGGCACCCCTGGCGCAGGCAGGCTTACTCCAGCCATCGTCCTTTTCACCAGCTCTACGTGTTCTGAAATCACAGCCAGAGACCAGTCAAGGGAGAGAAAGAATCAAACCAGCCACCCTCCCACACAGTCCTCAAAGGAGCCCATGGCTCTCTAGCTAGCCATGTCACCAAATCCGGCTCCCTTATTTCTAGGCAGAGCTGCCACACCCCAAGTCTAGCAGATTACTGTTTCATCTGGATGCTTAAATCTGCAAGATTTCACCTTAAAATTACTGTTTTTGGAAAAGGATGTTCCTCTAACCTTTTGGTGCTCTTAGCCAGTTCCTTTCCTCCATAATTTTTCTGGAATGAACCTGATCTTTCATACCTGGGTCCATGGGAATAGAGCTGTGGTTGCTCAATGCTGTAGCTCCCTCTTCATCTTCATCCTCACTCTCTAATGGTGGGTCTGGCAAATGAAGCCCCAGAGCCTGCTGAGCCAGAGAGGATAGTTTAGGGGGGCAGCACTTTCAAGGATCCCACCTTTACCTGCAGAGGAACAATGGCGCCTCCACCATACCTGGATCCGATCCTGGATATCAGCAACTACATCTTCTCCATCCCCCACTGGTGCGAGCTCCACCTCCTCTTGTTCAGGATCTTGGTTCAGAGGCTGGTAGGAGTAGCCGGCTGGGCCTGCCCCGTTTTCCTCCTGCTCTTCCTCAGGCTCCTCACTGCTCCAATCCCCAGTGCCTTCTGTAGGACCCTGTTGCGGCCCTAGTTCCTCAGTGTGATTGGGGAAGATACGCTCAGGGCCCATGGTGTCTCCCCCTAGAACTACTGCTGCCATCCGGGCAGGGGCTGCAAAAACAGGGAGACGGAAGGATATTGGATGAAATAAGGTGCCTTTCAGCTTCCATGAAGTTCCTCGGGGTGTCTTGCATCCACAAAACACTTGAACGCCCCCAAGCTTCCTGCACCGCATCCCACCCCATCCCAGCCTCTTCTGGGTGGGCTCTCCACGTTAAGTATGCTCTTCTCTAGAACCAACCCAAGCCCCCGCCCTGTTCCGGCAATCCCTAAGTAACAGCCCAACAGGGGCCCAAATGTCCCCCCTTCCAGAATCCTGCTACCCCAACCCCCCCCACGCCGGACTTGGGAACTTCGGGTAGCCAAATAGGGTTGGCGTGCCCGCCCCTTATGCCCTTCTTTCAGGGGTTCCCCTCTGTACCGCCTGACAAACGCCCTTCAGGCCCCACAGGCTTCCCTCAAATGGCCCCAGCTGCGATGTCTCCCAGCCGCCCCCACCGATTCTCGGCGTCGGTGTTCCCTCGCGCCTCACCCGCTCCGAGCCCGCTGTCGAACCCGCACCTTCACTTCCGGCGGGGCAGGACGTGCCGGGGATCCTCGTCCTCCAGCCCCGCCCCGCGTCCCTGATTGACGCGACCGCGGGCGGAGGGCCCGCCCCCGTCCCGCCCTCGCTTTCCCCGCCCAGACAGCAAAGGACTACATTACCCAGGAAGCCCCACGATATTTTGACAAATGTCTGCTTACGCGCAGAGCCTGGTTCGGGCCCTCAGAGCCCTTCCGAAATCGGCGGACTACAAGTCCCGGTTGGCTTCGGGGATTGAGCTCTGACTGCACGTGCGCACACAGCTGCCCGCCGGAAGGACCGAGCCTGGCTGTGTTTATCTCGTTGGAGACCGAGTCGTCAGTTGGCGCGCAACGGGTTCTAGGCTGCAGGCAGCGCGAGGACCCGCGGCCCCGCCCCGGCCCGGCCTGGCAGGTAGCCTGGGAAGGGCTGAGGGACGAGGCAAATTGGAGGGGCTGGGGACGCCCCTTCCTAGAGTGGAGTCGTGGGGGAGGGGCCTGAGAGTGTTGGGGTGGGGGTGGGGAGAGAACTAGGAGGATGATGGGAAAGGAGAGTGTTAATGGGGAAAGAAGGGCTGAGGGAGGATGGTGATGAGACGGGTGAGAAAGACCTGGTGCTGGAGGGGACCCTGAAAGGAACTGGAAGGAAGACTGGCTTGTGAGGGAAACGGGGAGCTGAGGAGTGAAAGAGAGGCGGAGGGGGTTGGCGTAGGGGAGGAGGGGAGGTCGGGATGACTGCCAGACGAGGATCGCGTCATATATAGGCAGGAGTAGGTCTGTCCAAAGGAGGTTAATGAAGCTTAGCTTTTTCTCCCTAGGGGATGAGGGAAAATGGAGGGCTGCCGGGGTGGAGCTTGGAATGGTGAGAGAAGGAAAACAGAAAACTGCAAAGCTCACAGCAGATTAAAAAGGGCCAGAAATGGGGCATGAAAATTGCAAGGAACGGGGTGGGGGGTGGTGGTAGGTGCATAAGGGAATGGAAGAAATTTGAGAATACGGCAAGGGTGGAGGATTGTGGAGACCCCGAGATGAGAGAAGCCCTTGAGATCTTAAGGGCTTGTTCTCCCTACCTTAAACTATCCTTATGGAGGGGAAGCTAAGATTCTCTGCCTTTCGATGGAATTGCCTCTGTCTTCCCCTGTGTATTCTTTACCTTGACATACTGAAGGAGGGAGGGGGGCAGCGTAGAAGGTATAAGGGAAGATGAAGGACTCCCTTGCTTAAGCTTTTCAACCTCCCATCTGTCCCCACAAGGCCTGACCCAAGATCTTTTGGATTGAGGACAGGAGTAATGGAGTGAGAGTGGTTTCCTGCTGGGGCTATTTCAGGTTTGGTAGGGTGGCTATTTAAAGCATGGGGTGGGGGGGTGGAGGAAGGTGGGGTGGGGGGCTGGCAGGCCAGCTGAAAGCCATGTCTCCTGCAAGGGGCCTCCCTTACATGAGCTTTCTCTGTGCCTGAGGTTATGCCTGGCTCTTCTCTCTGCCAAGTATAGATAATCCATCCAAACTCAGCAGGTGCCTGCCAGCGAAGGCAGTGCCAGTTGCGGAAGGATTTGTCTGACAGAACCTTCAGATGTACCCATTATCTCTGGTTGGCAGGTTGTTTTTGAGAGACCATGATCTCTCTTGCCTGCATCTTTTTCTTGTTCTGCCAAACTGCATTTTTGCTTCTCTTTCTCTTTCCAGGGCACTTTCCCACCCCTTCCCCCTTTCAGGGACCCAAGTGGGAGAAGAGCTGCTGGAAACAGCTTGCTCTCTACCATGGTAGCAGGGTTGGGGGAAGTGGCTAGAGAGAAAACCCCTCCCCCTCACCACCCCCACTCCCTTAACCTCCAGCAGATACATACCTTTCTGGCTTAAGTTCCTAGTCTTGGCAGCATACCAGGCATAGCTGTCAAAGGAACTCCTCGTGCCTGTGAGGGGCCCTGGGTGACCCTGATGAAAACAGTTCAGCTTGACAAGATCTCCCTATGAGGAGCTAATCATCCATGGTAACGTAGTGGTCCCTGCCCTGGATCAGTCCCGCCCTGACCTGGATAAGGGGGCTGCTCCACTCTAAAAGGCTAATAGCTTTTCTGCTTGGAAGCGCCCATGCCAGCTTTCAGTGGACTGTCTGGGGCTGGCTGAGCTATTAATAACTGAGTATTTTGAGATCCCTCTCCCCACCTTAAAGAGCACAGAGATTCTTAGAGAGGTGGCAGTAAGCAGAGCAGAGCCAGAGAACAGAAGGCACCAGGCCTGCAAAGGGGGCCTGGAGCTTGTTCCAGGCCAGGGATAGGGTGGAGCTTCCATAAGTAGGGGGCGACCATGCTGAGTCTTTGGTCAGCAGATTCTGAGCTGGCATTCAGGTCAGGCTGGCCCCACCCTTTGCTGCTGGAGAACACAGGGCCAGCACTAGCTCTCTGACCTCAGGAGCTCCCCTGGGGCAGGGCCAGCCACCTGAGCTGCAGAAGGGTGGTGTGGGAGGGCCACCAGGGTGACACAGGCAAGGGCTGGTCCTGGGCAGAGTCACGTTGGGCCAGGCAAAGACCTTGCCTGAGGAACCCGTGGCCCTGATTTGTATGCAGGTAGCAGAGGCAGCAGGCCGTGCCGGGGGGGCATGTTGCTGTAACCAGTGGCCCAGGGGATGTTACGGTGGACAGTGCACCTGGAGGGCGGGCCCCGCAGGGTAAACCATGCTGCAGTGGCTGTTGGGCACCGGGTATACTCCTTCGGGGGTTACTGCTCTGGTGAAGACTATGAGACTCTGCGTCAGATTGATGTACACATTTTCAATGCAGGTAAGTTAATGCTGGGACTGGCCCTGATGTCCCAGTGTGGGGTGGAGGGGGCGGATGGGTGGCTGAGTGAGATTTGGTGGTGGTCTCTGTGACCAAAGGGATTGGGGAATGGAAATCAGGTTTGGAAAAAGGGAGGCAGCCTGGAGGGAAGTTCACAGGACTGAGCAGAGCTGTGTCCACAGTGTCCTTGCGATGGACAAAGCTGCCCCCGGTGAGGCCCGCTGCCCGTGGGCAGGCTCCTGTGGTACCCTACATGCGTTATGGACACTCAACTGTTCTCATTGATGACACGGTCTTCCTCTGGGGCGGGCGGAATGACACCGAAGGAGCTTGCAATGTGCTTTATGCCTTTGATGTCAGTGAGTATGAGTTTCAGAGAGGCTTTGTTCTGCCAGATGGTGTCTCATGTGGGAAAGGTATGGGCTGAGGGTGCTGGGAATAGGCCTTCCCCCCACCCCCATAGTCTAGGAGGGAATATCAGAGATTGTTCATCTGGGCCATTCTCTCACCTTTTCCAGATACTCACAAGTGGTCCACACCCCGTGTGTCAGGAACAGTTCCTGGGGCCCGGGATGGACATTCGGCTTGCGTCCTGGGCAAGACCATGTACATTTTCGGGGGCTATGAGCAGCTGGTAGGTTTGGGGAGAAAATGGAGACGTAGGGTGGGAATGAGAAAGATGAAAGGAGTTGAGGGGCTAGAATGGGAGGCTTTAGCTTATTTGCCTGTTTTGAGGAGATGGATAGAGGGCCTTGGTAGGAGGACACGGTTCCCCCTTTTATTCTTACCTCACTTCCGTTTCCCACTCAGGCGGACTGTTTTTCTAATGACATTCACAAACTGGACACCAGCACCATGACATGGACCCTTATCTGTACAAAGGTTTGCCATTTGTTCCTCCCATATCCCCACCCTCAGTTGAAGAAATCATAGGAAGTTCAAACAGTGGCAACAGAAGCCCTTCATCCTCCACGCTTATCCCCGCCCCCGCCCCACGTCATTGCTCTGTTTTGTCCAGGGTAACCCTGCACGCTGGAGGGACTTCCACTCAGCCACAATGCTGGGCAACCTCATGTATGTCTTTGGGGGCCGCGCAGACCGCTTTGGGCCATTCCATTCCAACAATGAGATTTATTGCAACCGCATACGAGTCTTTGACACCAGGGCTGAGGCCTGGCTAGACTGTCCATCCACTCCGGTGCTGCCTGAAGGACGCCGGAGCCACTCAGCCTGTAAGTGCTTGGTATATCCCTCCAGACTCCCCCTTCTTGTTCATTGTCCCCACACTCTTGATGTGCCTCTCTCTTTCCAGTTGGCTACAATGGGGAGCTATACATTTTTGGTGGCTATAATGCAAGGCTGAACCGGCACTTCCATGACCTCTGGAAGTTTAACCCTGGTAAAGAGCTCTGCTTTTAGAGGAGAAGAACAGGAGCACTCGATGGGGGAGGGAAAGAAGGTTAACCCTGTGTAGCTGAGGGGTGGGAGGCGGAAAGGTTATCTGGACTGGACAGATACTGAACCTCTGTGTAAACTTCTCTTTAGCATCCTTTACCTGGAAAAAGATTGAACCGAAGGGGAAGGGGCCATGTCCCCGCCGGCGCCAGTGCTGCTGTATTGTTGGTGACAAGATTGTCCTCTTTGGGGGTACCAGGTTTGTAAGGGAGAAGGTGCTCAGAAGTGGACCTTAGTCTGTGGTTAACATGGATAGTACTTGAATGGAGAGTGTCATGGATCATATTTGTTCTTTTGATCCCTGCAGTCCATCTCCTGAAGAAGGTCTGGGAGATGAATTTGACCTCATAGATCATTCTGACTTACACATTTTGGACTTTAGTAAGTATTCTTTTTTCCAAAGCCATCACTGAGTCCCTGTCTTTGGGTGGCAATATCCAGGTCTGAGCTTTAACATCTTCTCCCCCACTCCTTTAAAGGCCCTAGTCTGAAGACCCTGTGCAAACTGGCCGTGATTCAGTATAACCTGGACCAGTCCTGTTTGCCTCACGACATCAGGTATAGAGAGTGGTTGGAAAGAAGGGGGATCTGTTTAGAGTGAATAGGCAGCACAGACATGACCTGTTTAGCTTGCTCTGCCTGGAAAAGTTTTTCTGTTGGACTTATAGTCTACCTGTGGAGAACGAGGTAGGATATATAAAATTGTCAACTGGTTAAATTATATGAAAAAGCCCTGTGTGTTTTTTTTTTTTTTTAAGATTTATTTACTTATGCATATAAGACCTGGGTGTAGGACAGAGGGGTGAGAGGATTCACAGAGACAGAACAGGCAGATCTACTGAAACACACTGCTGAGGGCAGCAGGGGCTGAGATAGGAGAGGTCTGCACTGTGTGGGTCAGCTCCCTGGCCGGGGGGTCCAACTCATGCTGCAGTGGCTATTGATAACTTGATAGTGCTGAAACTGTGCCACCAGGGAGACTCAAAAAAGTGCTATTTTAAAAATAAAGTTTAGAAGTGTCATTTGAGATCAGAGCCTACACATTAGTTTTTGTTAACATACTGAGAAAGTTTGATCATATCTTAGAACCTAACTACAAAGTAAAAACAAGCTTAAGGGCCTCTGGGTCACATTTGTTCCAGAATTGAGAAGTCTTTCCTACCTATTTCTCTTTGAATTCCATATCTACACCACTGAAAAGTTGTTTTGTGTGTAATTGTGCCTTTCTGGGTCATTTGGAGACACTTCTCTCTCCTGTGTCAGCTCAGTTTAACTTGTAGTTGCTGAGGGTCTATGTGTTCAGTATTGGGTGACCCGGAACATACAAGGCTAAATTGATGAATCCCTGGCTGGCCTAGGCTTACTACACGCAAGTACCTAGTTTCAAGTAGTCTGCAGGGAGGCATAGTGGCAAAGAGAGCTACTTGATGAGTCTTTGTAGAAAGAATTGTCCAAAACAGAGAAGTTTAATTTTAATATGGTGGAATGAACGGGGTAGGGAGTAGAGCCTTACATGCATGAAAATTAGGAATGAAAACAGGCATTCTTAGTGGGATGTGGGGTGAGGGACTGGTTTGATCTTAGCAGAGGAGGAAAGGTAGGTTGAGTTCACTGAAATGTGTACACAGATGCTTCCCTCCAGGTGTTGGGCACAGCAATAGATTTAGAAACACAAACAGGAAGTCCTCATGAACTAGTGGGTGGAGGAGTGGGTGATACTAGACTTGGTGGTGGATGAGGCACCATTGTTAAAGCTGGGGTATAAGGAAGAGGTGGCTGTGGGTAGTTGAGTTTTAGAGGGACTCTTGTTTTATAGCTTTGTTGGAACAATTCTGGGCTCGAGGGTGAAGCGCTCTGCCCTGTCCTTTTGCCTTTAATGTTGGCCTTCTAGGTGGGAGCTGAATGCCATGACCACCAACAGCAATATCAGTCGCCCCATCGTCTCCTCCCATGGATAGGAGGACATTTCTGCCACTTCCCCTCCTGAGCCTGCTGTTGTCTTCACTGCCCCTACCCATCTCTCACCTGCCTGCCCCTTTGCATCCTGGACTCGATATACCTCCATGTGGAGTTGTTGGACTAGAGGTGTCTTCTGTGCTGTGAACTCAGTGGGGAGCTATGGTGGGGGAGGGAGAGCTAGGTCCCTCCCCCCATGGGCCGAGGGCCCCTTCCCCTTGGTGCTTTGTCCCATTCACCTCCCTCCACTGCTCCTGGGTCTCTGCTCTGCCTCAGGCCAGCCAGGCTCTGCTGGGAAGAGAAGAGAATGGGGAAAAGGGAGAAGCAAGCAGTGTCTGAGCCTAAGGAGCTTCCTCCACCACCTTATTTCCACCCCTCCCCTTGCTTGAGCCATGGGCATTGGTTGGGAGCTGAGGAGTTGCAGCTGGTGGCATGAAACCTTATTCTCCCTGACCTGGGAGGCGAGGACCAGCAGATAACCCCCCCTTCCCAGAGCTGTTGCTGTACCCTGACGCTCTCAGCCAGCTCAGATTTTATAAAAATGAATCAAAAAACCTAACGTGTGGTCTGTTTTTGTGGAATGTGGTGGGGGCGGAGACGTCTGCCAGTGGGGCATGGTGCTGAAAAGGGGCACTCCGGAGATTCTAGCTTCTCGGCGAGAGCACTAAGAAACCAGACGCGGTCTCGGGCTATACCGGGTTTCTCTCAGACCGGGACACAGCGCCAGGCGAGGAAGACGTAGCGTTTTCTCTTCTTCGCGCGTCACTGGGTTGGGAGGCTCGGGCTCCCGGGGCCGCCGGAAGGGGCGGTGCCTCGGGGCGGAAGTAGCGCCATTTGTGTTCGGGGCGCCACGCGAGCCAATGCCGAAAGTGAGCCCCCTCGCCGGGTCTGCCCGTGGGGCGCGGGGCGGAAGGCACGATGGCGTGGGCCCAGACCTGCGGCAGGGTGAGGACACGGAGGCGGGCGCGGCCCACGTGGCGCGGCGGGCGGAGAGCGCACCCTGTGCTGCCGGCTCCCCGCCGGAGACGCAGTTCCCGCGAGAGCGCTACGTCTCAGAACGAGGCCGACGCCCGGCTGTCGGCGGCGCCCTGGAAAGGGGGGTGTGCGAGGGGCGCTTGCTGTGTAGTTGGAACATCCCGAGCGGTTTCTCAAAGAGATGATGTGGGGTATCCGCAGGCAGCAAACTTGTGCAAAAATAGGAAAGGGCACCGGTTGCTGGGCGAAGGGTCCCGCCAATGTTTGTCGAGCAGCTGCTCGTAAAAGCACACAGATCCGGTGCTGTGGAGACGTGGTAAAGCAGGCAGACCCTGCCTTCGAGGAGCCTGCCTTCCAGAGACAATACTGTTCTAGGCCATTGAGGGCTCTCAGAACAACATTAAACTTCGGGGGGTGGGTGGGTGTTTGTGTGCATGGCTTTGAGGGGAGCGGAAATTGGAGGTGAAGCAACCAGTTAGGAAGTTCAGGCACTGTGTGAGAGGTGCTGACAGTGGTAAATAGGCTGGGAAAACAGGCTCAAAGAGAGGCTGGAAGGGCCTCTCTGGGGGTGTGCAAGGCGTTGTATCAGTGCTGTCAAACTGTCAGCAACTTCTGAAGTAGGATATCAGTCCCCAGCCCGGGAGCTGACCCACAAGGCGCAGCAGACATCACCTGTCTCACCCACTGCTCCCCTCAGTATTTCAGTGGATCTCTGAACATTGTCCCCACTCTGTCTCTGGTGGATCTTCTCACCAACGCCCCCCACCCCCACCCCAATACACACACCTCTGGTCTACAGCCCAGCTCTTATATGCATAAATAAAATCTTACAAAAAAAAAAAAAGGTTGAAAACAAGGGAACTGTGGCTTAGTCTAACTCTGAGCTTACATATACATCCACCTTAGCAAGGTAAGTCCTCAGTGGGAACAGCTAGGAATTTCTTAGGCCGCAAAGCAATATTATAGCCTGTGCTATCTGGGGCTTGTGATTAGTCTGATATTGGAAAGGATCAGTTACCCATGGAGTGTCTTTGTGTCAGTGGGAGATGCTGAGCCGAGTTGTCCCTCCATCATCCTTCCACAGGCTCATTAGACATGTCATTTGAGGAGCTGTTGGAATTACAGAACAAAGTCGGGACTAAGGCATGCAAACAGTTGGCAGCTGATAACAGCAGGAAGAAGCAAGGTTCTAGACCACCTGTCCAAAGTGCATGTGTTGCAGATAAGCACAGGTGAGAAGCAAGACCTTGAGTGGCAGGTGGGAGGCCTTTGACCAAGGCTGGAATTCCTTTGACCTTTAATTTCTCTATAGGCCTTTGGAAATGTCAGCCAAGGTCCGGGTGCCGTTTTTGCGTCAAGTTGTCCCCATCAGTAAGAAGGTGAGAAAGAAGCAGAAAGTACTTTCTCGGTGAAAGGAGACTGAACAGTTGTTTCATCTATTCATTCTCTTCAAGGTAGCCCGCGACCCCCGCTTTGATGATTTATCAGGGGAATATAATCCTGAGGTGTTTGACAAAACATACCAATTCTTGGATGACATCCGAGCCAAAGAGAAAGAGGTATGCAGCATGATTCTGATTCATAGGGGCCCAGGGGGTAGGCAGAAAAGAAACTAGGGCACAGGTTGGCAGGCAGAGCAGAGCAGGAAGCAGAGTGATGGGCAAACTCTTAACATTCAAATCCTGACTCATCAGTTTACTGTGTGACCATTGACAAATAACTTCTCGTGGTTTTCTAATCATGAAAAGAGATGGTGCTTAGTTATAGTGTTGTTAGTATCTGTGAACCTGTTGTGCTTGGCACAAAATCTCAGCTAACCACCATTCATTTTCCATTGTGGAGCTTGTGAAAAAACAATTGAAGAAGCACCGTTCAGGTGAGAAGCATGAGAAACTGCAGCAGCTGCTTCAGCGAATGGTGAGTGGGTAAGAACTGTAAGGGGTTAAAGCGCAGCACTGTGTAGCTATCTGCAGCCACTGCAGCACAGGTTTGATCCCCGGCTTGGGAGCTGACCCACATGGTGCAGCAGACCTCTCCTGTCTCACCCGTTGTGACCTCTCCTGTTTCCCTTCAGCAGTGTATTTCATCCAGCTGCCTGTTCTCCCCACTCTGTCCCTAGTGAATCCTCTGACCTCCCGTGACCCCCATCTCACCCTCCCCACCCTGCACCTCTGGCCTGTACGCCAGTTCTTGCATGCATAAATAAAAGGGGGTGAGAAAAAGTTCGAGACAGGAGTTGATTTCCCTTTTCACCCGTGCACCTCAGGAACAGCAGGAATCAGCTCAGCGGGAACGAAAGCGACAGCAGGAGCTGCGCCTGGCCCTGAAGCAGGAGCGGCGTGCTCAGGCCCAGCAGGGCCACCGACCCTACTTCTTGAAGAAATGTGAGTGGGGCACGACTGTGACAGGCTGGTTACAGAGAAAGGGGTTTTGGTGACCTTAGTGGCTGGATACTGGGGTGGGGGCCTATGAGCTCCCCAAGGAAGACGTGAAGTCTAGGTCCTACAGTAACTTGGAGGAAAGTAATTTTTTATTTATTCTCATCCTTTTTTTTTTTTTTAATAAGCAGATGTTGTTGATGTACTTTTCATTTTCATGACCGTGTGGTTTTGGGTATAGTCATTCTTGAATCCTTAACAGGATGGTGAGCAAGAAGTGTCACTTTTATCTCTGGCCCCCTCCCGCCTACATGCTAGGCCAGGCACCCAGATGGAGGTCACAGTTGGTTGAATTTAGAAAGAGTAGAAACAGAAAAAATCGTGTTTACATGCATCAGTGACTTCCAAACAACACTGTCTGATCTGGAGAAAGGGAAAGAAAGGGGCCTCCTCTTTTGCTTACTAGCTGTCTTTCTTTTTCCCTGCCTCTAGCTGAGCAGCGCCAGTTGGCCCTAGCTGAGAAGTTCAAGGAGTTAAAACGCAGCAAGAAGCTAGAGAGCTTCCTGAGTCGAAAGAGGCGCCGAAATGCAGGCAAGGACAGAAGACATCTTCCTTTGAGCAAAGAATAATACAGAATTTCTTCAATGTGGCCACTGCACCAGTGAACACTGCATCTGTGGGGACAGATACGGGCTTGGTCTTTTCAGTTCTTTCCCATTCAAGGGCAAAGGATCACGGTGGCCCTGAGCTAAGTTGGTTAGCAGGGTCTTGGATCACCCCTAGGACTGAATAAGAAGAGCTGTTCGGCCTGCTACATGTCACACAGCCTCTGCTTGGTTCTGGTCATCATGTTCTCATGTCCTCTCCCATCTTGCCTTAAACCAGTACGTCTTGTACAGCAGGAAAAGGGCAGGGAGTTAAGACCTTGGCGCCCAAAGCTGGGACTTTATATAAGAACCAGTTCATAAACATTCTTTTCACTCATCTCTTTTTGCTCTGCTCTTTCAGGGGCAGGGAGGGACTTGTGGGTAGCCTAAATTATTTTTTAGTGGGCCACGTGAGTAGGCCCTAAGATTCCTGCAAAATGTAAAGTCAGATCAGAGACCTATTTAAACCCAAACAGATACCATGAACCAACCCCGCAACTCAACCTCCTTAGCTTTGGCTGTGGAGGTAAAAGGAGGATGAAGGTGGGGATAAAAAAAAATCCTCCCCATCTAGGCAAAAGAAGCATAGCTCTCCTGCCTGCCTGTGGCTATGCAAGTGTTCCTCTCCACAAACCTTGCCCTTTTTTTGTAAATTTAAAAAAAAATTACTTATTTATACATATAAGAATTGGGGTATAGTCCAGAGGGCAAGGGGGTGAGAGGATTCACCAGAGACAGTGTGGAGCAGAACAGGTCTGCCAGAACACACTGCTGAGGGGAGCAGTGGGAGGGGAGGGGAGGGGAGACAGAGAGGTTTGCTGCTCCCTGTGGATCAGCTAACTTGGCTGGGGTCACACTAGTGCTGCCAACAGCTTAATAATGCTGAGACTTAACCCCTTGTGCCATTAGGGAGGCCCCCACAAACCTTGCCCTTTGCAGCAGCAGCAGCAACTCTGCCTGCTTGTGTGTGCAAGCATCACCTTTTCCTAGTAAACCTGACCTTTTAAAATGTGACCAAAACAAAAAAATAACAAAATCCCTCACAGCTAGCAGCATTAGCTCTCAATTCTGTTTGGGTCTAGAATTTATTATAACCAAGCTGGCAATTCTTCTGGTAATTCAGTGTAAGGTGGCTTCTGATTGGTAGTGCTTCCAAGTACCTGGCAGAGGCAGACCTCACTTCAGGACAGTAATTGTTAAAAAAATTTTACTGGGCCTCCCTGGTGGCTCAAGGGTTAAAGTGTCAGTGCTATCAAGCTATTGCCAGCCACTCCAGCAGGAATTTGATCCCCAGCCACATGGCACAGCAGACCTCTCTGCAGTTCCCCTCAGCAAGTGTGTTTCAGTGGATCTGCCTGTTTGGCGCCCCACTCTGTCCCTGGTGAATCCTTTCACTATCTCCAACCTCCCTGCATGTCTGGCCTACACCTTCATTCTTGTATGCATAAGTACATACAAGAATGTATATAAAATAAATTTATTAATCAAAAGATTTACCCCCCCTTAAAGATTTGTTTTTTATTTATTTGTGCATAGAAAAACTGGCATCTAGGCCAGAGAGGGGGTTTGGGTGATGAGTCTCCAGAGACAGAGTGGGGAGCAGAACAGGAAGATCTACTGAAACACACTGCTGAGGGGAGCAGTGGGAGAAACTAGAGAGGTCTGGCTTCCCCGTATGTATGTGGGCTAATCAAACTCAGGCCACTAGGATGGGCCTTCCTGGTAATAGCACTCAGACTTAACCCTGAGGCCACCGGGGAGGCACAGAGGCCCAGGTTTCATCTTCAGTGGGGCCTCCCCGGTGGCCTCGGAGTTAAGTCCGAGTGCTATTACCAGGAAAGCCCACCTCTGGCCTACCCACCAGTGTTGGCAGTGGGGGTAGGGTTGGGAAGAAATGGTTACTTCTAAGGGGTGTGGGGGTTTATTTATGTCAGAAATATTACAAAATTGATTGTATTGGTGATATTACTGGAGTCTATGACTATAGAAAAAACCATTTCATTATACACTTTTTAAAAAAGATTTACTTATTTATGGGCCTTCCTGGTGGTACAAGGGGGTAAGTCTCAGCCCTATGAAGCTATTGGCAGCCACTGCAGCAGGAGATCAATTCCTGGCCACTTTGTCTGTAGATTATTTTTTTATTAAAGATTTATTTATTTATGCATACCGAAATAGGGTACAGGCCAGAGGTGCAGGGGCAGTGAGAGAATTCTTCAGAAACAAAGTGGGGGGCAGAATAGGGCTATTGACAAAGTATGCTGCTGAGGGGAGCAGCGGGCGGGTCAAGAGAGGTCTGCCACGCCATGTGGTCACCTCCGGGGCAGGCAGGAATCGAACTCATGCGGAAGTGGCTTTAGCTTTGTAGTGCTGTGCTTTAACCCGCTGCGCCACCAGGGAGGACTCTGTCTATAGATTTTAACATACTTTGTCTCTAGAGTCGCTCGTTTGGGACATTTATTTAGGTAGGTCAACTTGTCCTTTGTGTAAAGTTGCTATAGAGATGTAAGGAATTGAGGCATGCGGTCAGGTACCAAACTTCTGTCCCAGAGTCATCCTGGAACATTCTAAGGATGGAGGATGCTCGTACCTAATGGCGCTGGTGAGAGAAGGGCAGAGCTAAGATGGCTCCTGTGGATACCTGGCACATCAGCCAGGCCAGAGTCTGGAAGTGGGGTGAGAATGTGTGAATTTGGCAGGCAACACTTGGAGGAGCTGGATCACAGACTGCAGCAGGCCAAAGCCAGTATGTTCTCCAAAATCACTGGAGACTTCCATTGTTGAGCAAGTCAACACCCCTGCCTGTGGGGTAAGGTGGCTATGCGGAATGAGTAAGCGGTCAAGCCAGTGTGGTGAGTAAAAAGCTAGTAGCCTGTGGCTCAGCCACACAGACTTAGAGGTCAGCAGCCACACAGGCAGCAGTGGGAGAAAGTCCCGCCCTGCTCCCTACATGTTGCACATGTGACCTGAAGACTAGATCTTGCCTCAGGGGGCTGCTTTGCATTTCTAGAGGGAGGGCGAGGCTCATAAAGAGCATGAGAAGCCAGAAAAATGCAGAAAGATTGTGAGGTTAATGGGGAGGAGGGGAAAAGGGAGGATTGAGGGAACGTAAGGGATGGCTTGGGGATGTGCTAAAACTCTTAGTCTTGGAAAAACCCAACCCAAATGATAAATAATTATATATGTAATTTTAGGTCAATGCAATTAATACTAAAAAAAAAAAAAAAAACCCACAGGTATGGTATGGGCCAGTAGGGGAGGATAGGTCATAGTCTGACAAAGATTGAGGCACCCGCCAAGTGCAGCAACCCTGGTGCGTAGGGGGCTGCCGGGTGCTGCTTCCTGTCTTCTGCCTCACAGGGCTACCTTGGGCCAACAGGCTGGTGCCTGCTGCAGGATCCACCAACAGAGCCACACTGCAGCACAAAGCATGCAGGGGCCCTCTGGCCACTAGGCCCTTTTGCCTTCTGCTTGGTCGCCTCATCCTGACTGAACTGACTCTCCTAAGCCCTGGCTTCCTGTTCCCCTCATAAATTTTACAGATGTTCCTTGATTTCCAATTGGGTCACATCCCATTAAACCCATGGCAAACCCAAAGTCTCATAAAGTTGAAAAATGTATTTGATACACCTAACGTACCAAACTGTAGCACTAGCTCAAGCCTCACCTCAGATGTGCTCAGAACACTTAGAGTAGCCTACAGGAGGGCAAAACCATCTAACACAGTCTACAGACAGCGAGTGTTGACTAGCCCGTGGAATACCGAAAGTATTCAGTACTGCCGGGAAAGTGTGTGTTGGTGTTTACCCTCGAGCCTGAGGCTCTGAGCTGCCGCTCAGTGAGGCTGCCAGCATCCACAGCTAGAAGAAAGACCAAAATACAGAATGCAGTGGAAACTAGAGTTTTCACTGAGTGCTCATCACTTTCCTAGTGTTGCCAAATTGAGAAGTCCTAAATCTACCCACTGTTTGAAGATTCCCAATCTCAGTCCTGGGTGGTTCTGTTTTCCCAGGTCCGTCCCTGTCCCTTTTCCCCACCCTTTTCTCTCTTTTTTTTTTTTCTTTTCTGTAACAGCTTTGTCCCTCTCTGGGCTGCAAGAACCATGGATTCAGGATGCTTGGGTCACTCATTTCCTCCTCCCCTAGAGGCCCAGACACTGAGTCTCCCAGCCCCACCCGCAGTGCAGGCTCTGTGGGTGGGGCCAGGGGAGCCAATCCCAGCAGCACAGAGCACACCTCCCCCAAGGGTGCAGGCCTGAGCTCCAGCTACTTAGGGTCTAGTGTTGGCCAACTCTGCTGGGAGGGGCCACGGGGCCTTGGGGCTGTACTAGGTCAGGTTAAAACCCAGATCCTGAACATCTGGGATAGAGTAGAGTACATATTCAGGTTCTAGGATGTTTCATCTGCCTTCCCCAGCACTGCACCCACTGCTGGGTGTGGTGGCCAAGAGAGGCCCTTACTGGGAAAACCTTCACTGGGTCAAATGTCCCTCAGGGCACCTGAGGGATTCTCCTGCGACTCCACAAATGAGGGGAAGGGTGCCTCGTGGGGAAGGGTGCCTCACTTGGCAATGTCTGAGGGACATGTCCTCTGGCGCATGGCCAGGTGGCCGGGTCTCTGGCCTGCCAGGTAGAGGCACCTTAGCATATGCCCGCCCACCGAGCAGGGGCTGAGTCTGGCCCCTGTTCACTTAATTCCCCTGGCCAGCGGGGAATGCTAAAGCACACCTGACTCTCTCCAGTCTGCTATCCTCCCCCTAACACAGAGACCCCTGTGAGACAGCCAAGCCAGAGGGCTCTTCTCCCTTTAAGTTGCAAAAGCACCTTCCCCTACCAAATCCCCAGCAGTCACCGAATGCACACAACCCATGTAGTCAAACTCCTGCATTTTATTTCTGTAGAAAGCTCTAGCTCTTTCTAGCCCTGACCCCATTCCAGGGCTACCGGAAGGTAGAGAAACTCTGGGTGCCAGTGCAGGAGGCGTAGGGTACGCCCCGAGAGCGAATCTGCAGGGTGTGGAAAGTGAGGGGAGGGTTGGGGCCCGAGGAGCCTGGGTTCAGGGACTCGGTGTGAGGCTCCATCACAGTCACGGGGACTGCGTAGGACAGCATCTGGGGCCGGTCGTCATGGCGCCTCACCGTTCCCCTGCCCAGCAGGTGCAGGATGCAGGACAGGACGTCAGTACTGCTGCAGGCAGACCCACTCCCAAGGCTACTGACCAAGCCCCTGGGAGGACATGGGCCTTTCTGCCAAGCCTCTAGCACCTGGGAAAGGAAAGGGGACACGATAGATAGGTCACCACCTATTCCCATTTCTTGTTCAGACCATAAGCTGCCAGGAAAAGCTGCCCTGAGGACAGTAGGCACACCCCATCCTCACTCCTCACCTGCCTACGAACTCCATGAGCCAGATGCTTCCAGCACAGACCCACCTCCTGTGGCCTTGCCCCCTCCCGAAGTTCCTTCACAGCCCCCGGCCACCCCCACCTACCAGGCAGACTAGCTGGTCAATATGTAGCCCCTCGTCCCCATGGGCCTTGAGGATTCGGACGATGAGGCAGTTTAGCAGGTTCCGTCTCTTCTCCAGGTTCCGACCCTCTTCATCCTCCGCTTTCAGGTATGTCTGAGGCGGGATGAGCCACACATTGCCCCTCCTTGGCCTGGGTTCCTCGCTGCCATCGCGAACCTTGAGCACCCCTGAAATAAGCATCACTGGGTGGGATGCCCACGAGGAGGCAGGTTCTAGCTTGGAACAGAGGCCTCTGTGGCCTAAATGCATACCTCCTGGGACGTCCTTCGGCTCGTGAAGGTCCAGGGGGCCTCTTGACGCCGTCAGAGGCCCAATTGCCTGGTTTAGCGTGTCTGGAGAGAGCCCCGAGAGCGCCAGCAGACTCTCCACAGAGACCTCCTTGGAGAAGAGGAGGGAGATAGTCAGGGTCTCCCTACGGGGTAGTGCAGAGAGGATGGAAGGGAGAAGGACCGGGGTCAAGGTTTAAAGGAAAGGCGAGGGGCAGGTGGGAGCGAGCAGGGAGGCACAAAGGCTGGGCCACCTGCAGGTCGTTGAGATACAGCAGCAGCCACATCTGCACGGTGGAAACGTGCAGGGTCTGGTCTCCAAACTGCAGCTCAGCCCGGCCCAGCCACGTCCACTGCAGCCGTCTCTGTGGCCCCCGCTCTAGGGCAGGGTAGCTGTGATCTGAGAGGAGAGGGAGAGGCAGGTGGCGACGCAGCACAGCGAGCTTTGTCCCTGCTCCTCTCCGCAGTGTGCTGCCAGCGTGTGTGGACACTGGTCTCTGGCCTGAGCTTCCCGAGCTCAGCCTTCTCTGTGCCCACCTGCTCCCTGGGTAAGCCTCGGACACCTGCAGCCCGCCCTGTGCGAGGAGGGCTCTATCAGGACGTTCAACTAGACCCCCCCTCCCTTTTTTAAGTGAACCAAAATCATCAAGCAAGGGATCAAACTGGAGTGCCTGTGAAAGGAAATAATGTCTTTCCAATGAGTGTGGAAGCTCCCTGAGGGCAGGATCTGAGTCTTTCACCCTCCTTTGTGGCTGCCCAGATCAGGGATCAATCAGCCCCATAGGGGAGCTTGGGTTACAGATTTTGCCACCGAAGAAGAGCCTTCTTAGTGGCCTCCTGCCTCCATTTCCCCTGCCACACATAAAGAGAATCCTGGGTTTCATCTTAAGGACTTAAAAAGGCAGTAGTCAGTTAGGGGGGGTCCGATACACTCCCCCCAACTCCACAAAGTCCCACCCTTTCTTCTCAGATCTACCCCATCCACGCTCCCAACGCAGGGTCCTTCCTGATATCCCATCCTCTGCCCAGGCCCCAGTTCCCGCCACCTGGCGCCTCACTCTTGTTGTAGAAGTTGGAGTATCGGTTCAAAGTTCCCCTCAGGTAGGTGGGCAGGCAAGTTCTGGGGTTCAGCGTGTGGCAGATGTTGGCAACAGGCCAGCAGCGTGGTGACAAGACCAGCACCGACACTTCGGGCATGGCCCCTTCATAGAACAGGTCCTCGTTCTCCTCCTCCTCTTCCAGGTCAGCGGCCGCGGCCGCTGCGGCCCCGGCTTCCTCTGCTTCCTCTTCTGCCCTCCTCTCGTGCTCTTTGCCACTGGCCTCACGGCCCACCTATGGAGGAGCGGGGGGTTCCCCAAAGCCCAAGGGCCAACGCTGGCTGCCTGGCTCTTTCCCCTCTTCTCTCCCATTGGCGAACCCCTCCCCTGCACCCACCTGAATTTTCTTCTCCGTGTCCTCCAGCTTCAGGAGCTCCTGGTCGAGCCGCTGGAGCTGGTAGACATGGAACTGGCGCTGCAGCTCCTCGGAGGTGCTCAGGCTCCGCAGCATCTGCTGGGGGAGGCGGTTGGGGAAGCAGAGGCCGATCTGCTCCAGCACGGCCCCCTCCAGCCAGCTCGTGCCCACGCCCAGGAGACGGTCCGCCATGTAGTGTCTGCGGCACACACAGCCCTGGTCAATCCTCGGTGTGGGCATCCAGTTTGGCCCACTCCCCTGCTTCTGGACTCCAGCCTGCCCGGCCCAGGCCCGGCTGTCTTCCTGCCTCTCCCACCCAACTCCCAAGGTCCACTCTCACTGGTAGTAATGCTCAAAGGTGGTGGCTATCTCCAGGCCAGAGAAAATGAGGACGGTTTCCAGGCATCGCTGCAGCTGCGCCAGCATCTCCATCCCCCGGGCGCCACCGATCCGGCTGCCCTGAATCCGCTGGTCAATGTGCCGGGCAAACTGCTCACTCACCTGCAGGGAGAGCCCAAACACCACGAGTGAGGGTGTGAGGAGGTGGGGGGCAGTGGAGAAGCTCTGAGGGAGGAGACACGAGTGGCTAGCGGCTTCACAAACACAGTTGTTGTAAGGTTGCTCGTAACAGTGCAAGCTAATAGCATTGCCAAAGACGAAAAATGGTTTTTCACACTGAGCATGTTTAAAAGTAAAACTAACGGCAATAACTAAAACAGAGAAGCAACTTAGTCTGTGGAGGGTCACACCGCGGTGTGCCTGATGACAGGGACTGAGGCAGTGTTGCCCTTTGGTGCCCAGGCTGCTGGTGAGGAGGGTCACACTGCGGTGTGCCTGATGACGGACTGAGGCACAGTGGTGGCCTTTGGTGCCCAGGCTGCTGGTGACAGTTCAGTTCAGTATTTGCTCAACTAGGTGTCTCCCCTAGAAGGGCTTGGAGACAGGAGGGGAAGGGCTTCATCTACCTTCAGTTCTCCTGACCCGCCCGCTGCTCCCCTCAGCAGTGTATTTCAGTCCATCTGCCTGTCTGCTCCCCGCTCTGTCTCTGGTGAATCCTCTCACCACCATCCCCGCACCTCCTCTGGCCTGCACCCCAGTTGTTGTATGCATACATAAATAAAATACATCTTTAAGAAACAGAAAACAAGACAGAGCACTGTAGCACTTGGTGAGGATGGGAGGTTGAATCACGCATGCTATCAGAAGGCAGGACGCCAAGGTATGTGTTTGTAAGCCGGGGCTGCCGTTTTCTTTCTGTTTTTGAATTTTTACTGCCATGTTTACATACCAGTACAGTGATCCTTGCTGAAGGGGAGGAATGGAAGGCGGGTCACGCGGAGACGGTGGGGAGGAGCGTGTGCGCGGACAGGCGCAAGGGAGGCTTACGTGGGCAGCTTTGAGGAAGGGGAGCTTCAGCAGGGCGCCGGCACAGCCGTTCTGCAGCGCCAGCAAGAAGGCTGCCCGTGGGCCAAACAGCTCGGAGCTCGACTTGTGCAGGTGATTAAAGTGCTCACAGTAGCGTGGCACAAAGTCGTCATCCCGCCAGCGTGAGGTCAGAAAATGGTTCACCTGGCGGCGAGGGGGATGAGGTGTTGTGAAGAGGCCACCCCCAATTTCAGGCCCAGCCTCCTGCCTGCCCCCACACCTGCCCTGCCTACCTGCTCCTCCACCACAGCCCGCCAGCAGCGTGTCAGGTTTCTCATGATGCTGCTGGGCAGTCCCCGAGTAGCCAGGGAGCTCCAGTCATGGCTTCTGTTTCTGCCTTCTATGACAGAGCGAGGGGTGGGACGAGGTGGGGGCAGCCCTTAAGTTCTGGATCTCCCTTCAGGGGTGAACCCTGAGGCCTCTCCTGACATGCTGTTACCTGAAGTGATACTCCAGGGTGGTGGGGGGGAGGTTGACACAAACGTGGAGAATGCATAAGCTGAGTGTGCAGGGAGGGGAGGGACAGAAGCCTGCAGTGCGTGTTGGGGGCATGGGAGGTCGGGAAACTTTCCTTACTGAGCTCCTGCAGGAACCCCAGTCCTCACAGAGCTGAATTCCGGGTACTCACTGGGGCGAGGCGTGGCCACCACCAGAGGGGGAGCCTCACAGGGCTCCACATGCACCAGCAGATGCGTGAGACGGCGCACTCTCGAGGAGAAGGCTGCCGCGCGGCTCTGGGGGTTGTGGGCAGCCTCCCGACACTCCAGGTACTGGTCCAGCAGCCAGCCCAGGGGGCTGACGCCATCCTCATCTAGAGGCCAGGAAAAACAAGCCAAGGCAGGGCGTGACCCAGGGCAGCAGGAGACACTAGGCTGAGCTGGACGGCAGGGTAGGGAAAGAGCAACTGGACAGAGGGATACAGGGGAAGAGGTGGGCGGGTCCCTTCTGACGGGTTAAGCTGGCACTTGGGAGACATGGCAAGGGCGGGGTCCCGGGGTGTGAGATAAGGGGCACTAGGGCACACGGGTACCAAAGGGCCAAGGCATAATCTAGACAGCTTAGGCTGGAGTAAGCAGGGCCTGGCCAAGAGGGACAATCAATGCGATGGTAAGGGGCAGGGTGGGGACTGTTACCCGGGGAGGTGATGTTCTGCACCAGGGGGCTGACCAGGGCCTCCCAGCAGGTCTTGCCCAGCGCTTGGGCAGCTTCATTGTCGGGGAGGAAGCGGTCAGCAAAATTCTGCTCATGCCGCAGAGCCCCATTGAGTCTGTGGATATGGTGGGGGACGAATGAGAGGCATAAATCACCCCAGAATCCTCTCAGCCCCACAGCAGCCAGACCAAACTCTTACTCCCCACCCCACCTGGGTTAAGAGTACAACCTGGCCCTCCCTGGTGGTGCAGCAGGTTAAAGCGGTTAAAGCACAGCACAAACAAGCTACAGCCACTTCAGCAGGAGTTCGATCCCCGCCCTGGAGGTGACCCACATGGCGCGGCAGACCTCTGCTGACCCGCCCGCTGCTCCCCTCAGCAGTGTACTTCGTTGATCTGCCTGTTTTGCTCCCCACCCTGTCTCTGGTGAATCCTCCCACTGCCCCTGCACCTCTGGCCTGTACCCCATAAATAAATAAAGCAGCCCACAAACTGCTGCATCGTCATTTTGCCTTTCTCAACAGAGAACACTCCTGCCCCTCCCCAGGCACATCAGACCCCTGCTCCTTCCTCCTTCTTTGTGCCTCTGGCCCACGTCATTTGTGACACTCCTGCCTCTCACACACACCTAGAACTCAGGTGCAGGAGGCTCCTGCGGTCCTCAGATATGTCCTGGCTCCAGGCCTGCGCCCGAACCATGTAGAAGAGGCGTGTGTGACGGCACAGCTGCTCCCGGAACACTGGCCAGAACGTCGGCTTGGGGCCCAGGACCTCCAACCCCCGGATGCGAGTGTCAATGCCGCCCTGCAAAGCACACAGGTGTCATCACCTGCCCGATGTCCTCCTCAGGACGGGGTGGCCCCCCCCACTCAGGAGAGGTCCACACCGTCAAGCCTCACCCTCCTCACCTGCTGGCAGCGCTTTATGCGGATCTGGATGATGGGCCAGAAACGGTTCAGATTCTCCAAGAGGATCACCCGGCTGGCGGAGGGCATCACATTGACCTGGCATGGGGCAGAGAGAGCTGTCACCTCCACAGAGTGGACAGGCATACCAAAAGCATCCAAGTCTGCTCTTGTTCCCCCATTGTATCTCCCTTCTCCCAGCCCTGGGAAGTGTGGGGTCCCAAGGAAGTGGTCCTCATGCCACCCTTGCTTTCTAAGGGCCTCCCGGGTGGCACAAGGAGTTAAAGCATAGCCTGTGCAGCTGTCCATAGCCACGGGGCAGGGGGGAAGGGGGGAGGACGGGGTGACCCACACGGCACAGCAGACCTCTCCTGTCTCGCCCACTGCTCCCCTCTGCTCCCTAATCTGTCTCCTCTTACCTGCGACCACCCCGGCACACACCCCAGTTTTTGTATGCATAAATAAATCATTAAAAAACAAACAAACACTACTACACTCTAAGAGCTTGAGACAGGGAGGAATCAGGGGTCTCGGGGGCTGGGCAGGAGGGTGCATCCTGTGGGGTGGCAGGGGGTTCCTACCGAGTTGAGTTCTGTGTTAACGGAGTTGGTGCTGTCGCCCCCCAGCACCACCACCCTGGCCGGCATGTAGCTCGAGTCTTCGCCGGCCACCAGCAGATTCAGCTGCCTGGGAGCAGGGACGAGGAAGCAGTTGAACCGGAACCAGTCATGTCCTTGCAGGCAGACCAAGGGGACTCTGGTCCTGAGCAGGGGACGATGCTCCCCGCCAAGACAAGCAGGGAAAGCATGAGAAAGCGCATGTGCACCCAAGCATCGGCGTGCAGCCTGTTACCTGACCAGGACACCCTGGCGCATGTGCAGGGTGATGTGGTGGGAGCCGGTACTGCCGTTGGACTCCCAGTAGGTTTTGGGGTTGCGGTCCGTCAGCTTGCTGGCCCGGTGGGGGTTGGAGGACACCTCCACCTTCTCCCAGCACTTGTCCTCCTTCACCTCCACGCTGGAGCCTGGGGGCAAGGGGCAAGGGGTGGACTCGCAGCCCGGCGGGAAGACAGGAGAGGGGCGAGGGAGCAGGCAGGGGAGGGGGACAGATGCTGGGGTGCGTGTCAGGAGAAAGCTGGGGGGCACGAACCCTGGCACAGGTGCCTGAGGAACACGTCAAAGAAGGGGATGTTGATGGGTCGGTGGGTTCGTCTGTGGTCTTCGATCTGGCCCAGCACCATCTGCAGCCGCGTGAGAGAGCGAGAAGTGTGGGGAGGAGGCCGGGACACATGGGAGCTCGCGGAGGAAAGGCCCAGCAGCAACAGGGCTTCCTCCGGACCCAGACAGAGCAGGGGCCCAGGCGAGAGGGTGGAGGGCAAGTGCCCTATTAGCAAGACGCGTCTACTGTTCCCGGTTTCAGGAACAGCTCCCTTCACCCGACCCCACTGCTCTGGCTTCATCACCTTACCCAGCTCTGAACCCACAGCTTCCCCCACCGCATCCTGACCTGGATGCAGCCTCCCAGGATGTTGGTGGTGAGTTTCCGATAGAGGTGGGCATGCTTCTCACACTTGAACACCATGTCCCTCAGCTCCTGAGCCAGCTCCAGCTTGCCCAGATGTTTTTCCAGGGCCTTGGAGATGGCATCTCGGGCTCCCAGCTGGTTCAGCACCACGGCATAGTCCCTGCTCACTGAGGTCAAGCGGTGCAGGAAGAAGATCAGTTCCTGGAGCACCTGGGATGGGGATGGGGAGGTGAAGGAAGGGAACAAAGCCCAGGCCACAAGGGCCTCTTCTTTTTCTTTTTTTAATTAAAAAAAGAGGGGGCCCTCCCTGGTGGCGCAGAGGGTTAAAGCACAGCACTAAGAAGCTTAAGCCACTTCTGCATGAGTTCGATCCCCGCCTGCCCCGGAGGTGACCACATGGCGTGGCAGACCTCTCC